TTGAGCTACGAAGCTCGCGCGCTTTGAGAGGTTTATTAGTACGCTCGTAATTATTAACAATTGGTTATTGATGCGCTATTTTAATTGGCGATCATAATTGTTATTGAAAATGTTTGTTTCAGGTGATGGAACAGCTAATGGCAATGTTATACCTACGACAATAATATAATTTTTCTTTTTCACTTAAGTAAATTAAATATTTTCTAATATGGTAAATGTATCTATGTTATAAAAAATATCAGAAAATAGACTAAAGTACATATAACATAAATAAATAGAATGAGACGCTAACTAACATTTAGTAGTTGCACGTCGATGGGGGAGTGGAGCGGGGACACGATTCTCTCACTCGACAGATCACCTGAAAGTGTACCACTTAATAACTCACATCCTCTCGCGGTTCACTGGGCAGCCGCTGGATCGTCACATATCTCTAAATATGGCCGGCGAAGCGTGACGTCGCCTGCACAGTTACAACATGGGATTAAGCCCACATGCCCATACTTCGGCTCCCGTACGACAGTGTCACGTGTGTCCCCAGCCTTTACCGATTTAATACCAAATTAACGCCGCGCTTTATCTTTGTTACCTATACACTCATTTTAAGCAACAGCGTAGGTGCAGCTTGCCATGAAATATTGTTCGCCGCGTGGGTTTACAGCGAAATTGAATAGCATAAAAGCCATTGTTATTTTGACAATACTAGTTTTATGTGCAGAACGTTATTTATTTAATTGAAACTGCGTCTGTATGGTACATAGTTGTTCAGACTTATTTATTGAACTTCGTCATTAGTTCGTTTCCATTTCATAATTCAAAAAGTAACTTAAATTAGTATCGCAATATTATCCTAACTAGAATAAACTACGTGTATCTATTGAAGAGTGTAATAATATTCATTGGGCTCGGGCAATTTTCCGGGTGAGCGGCGACGCGTCTTTGATCAGCATCGACTATATCCCGGGAATGATAAAAAATTAAACATTAACTATGGCTTTACAAGTAATAAAAACAATATGACTTCATATCTATAAATGTTACAGAATGTTCTTTAATAAATGAGATTGTGTTCGTAATAAAGTGTTTGTAGAACAAAGCGTGGGTTACTCATTCGCCGAGTATTGACAACCGTGTCAGGGTACATCACTAAAAGCATTTTCCAAAATACTTGTTCCCCAAAGTAATTCAATTTTACACCCCAAATAAGTCGGCCGCAAGCACGTGTAGGTTGATCACTCGTCGTTTGTCTATGGGCACAAAATGTCGGGGACGGGTCGCAGCGCAAGGGTTGAGCGACACGTCTTGTAGGCTGAAGCTACGCTCCACCTTTTAAACATTACTTCCAGTGTGCTTACAAGTAATTATGCATACCACAATGACTTGCAAAGACAGTGTAATCAAGCTGTTGCCTCATTATGTGATCATATTATGAAACAAACAGCCCAATTAGGTACACACATTTATTACACCTCGCAGCCAAATCTCGACTTTATAGACACGATCTCAGTAAAGGTAAATTCAGTTAGGCGATGAAAATAATCCAATGTGATACTTATTATTTATTTGATTTTTCTGGATTTTTACGTCGGTCAGCACTTTGCTTTTAGTGAAATATGGCTGTAATATATTGAATCTGTTGAGAAATATCACGAGAATTCCGTGGATTATTATATTTATTTAGGTTACTTCGTAAGTTACCAGGATAACTTGTTTGTCTCACATTTTCTTTTAGCTCTGTCGTTTATGAAGACAATATTTTATAAATAAAGATCAATATGTACAAACTAGACTAAAAAATAATATCTTTGCTAAACAATAGGGCTTTATACAGTGCTTTATAAAATTTCATTCTCATTTGTTTGGTCAAAGAATCTCCATTATCAATATATTTTACTATATAACTAGCGACACAAAAACAATAAATTCGTGTATGCAATAAACAGTTAATTGTTACCTGTCAGTGTGTGGAACATTGCGGATTGCCTCTCGACGTCGTGTAGTGCGGAGTAGTAGTGGCGTGGAGGACTCTTCACTGTTACACTTCTAATACTGCTGATGTAGTGGACTAGTGACGTCGAGATCTATTCGAGTTTGTTCTACCGCAAATTGGGAATACACTGCGCTGTCCATGTTTGTACGAAACTTAATAAACTGATAGTTTTATTTGATGTAACTTGAACATTTTTAAAATCACTCATGTTTTTTATTTGAAGGTCTAGTTTCCTCAGTTTGAGAGGAGATCGCGTGTATCACTGGTGGACAACAAAGCGCATGTGTACACGCAGGTCACGAGTGGTGGGGAGGCTTCCGGTGCGGTCTGTCGCACCCTTCCGGTGTGCGCAGGCGCCGCCGCCGCACGACATCGAGCGTGACCAGCTACTGCCGCGCACCATTATATTCTATTGTCATCTAATAAATGAACTCTAGCTGTTCATAAAAATCATTTCATGCATATACATTTTACCTCACATGAGGCTCTTTTGGGTTAATGAACATTATTAAAACGCTTCCACATATTCAATTAATAGAAACCATATTTAATATTTAAGCACTTAGGTCCCGCCAATTGACGGAACGTAGCGGGTAGTTGCGGTTTCATTTCATTAGTCTTAAATGGAAATTCGTTTTATCTGTTGTTTATTACAAGGCCCATAATATAAACCAATTAGTAGATACGCACGGGAAAAGCTTTTATGATGCAATTAATGCATTCGGTTAAAGTGTCTGGAAAAATAAAGCTGTATTTATATTAATAGTGACATGCTGTGTGTAATGGCAGGCGGCCACCTGAGCAGATACTTTAAAATATATCCATTGTCTTTATTCGGTGCAGTTAAAATGAACATTTAAAATGAGTATTCAGTAAAATTTTGGTGAAGGTAATTCTGATAAAAAGTTAAAGATCATTGGAGCATTGAACGCCTTTATCGGTCGTCAGTCACGTGTTCAAATTTCGTCAATACTACGCGGTGGTTATTCAGAAGAGATCGGAAACAATTAGACAACAGTGGCATTGGTCAGCCGAGCGCAGATCCGTGCGTCGCCGTCGCGCTGCCCTACTGATTTACTCACGAATATTTTGCAGTAGCGATCCAGCATGGAAACAAGTTACAACTATACAAAAATAAGCCTTATTTCTATTCATATTGAGTACGTTATACTATACCAAAGTAACGTGGGATGTTTACTCCTTTTATAAATGAATTCGCCTTATTTTAATTCAGCGAATGAATATGAATATCGGTCAGCGTGTTTGTATGAGATGGCATTTAATCAATGCTCACACAAATGAACAGCTAGGTACCGGCACCGCACACTCGGAATGTATTTTACTGACGTTGTTCATTTTTATTAAAATAAAATTGTGCACAGAATGAGGACTTTAATTTCATATCTGGTTAACGTGCTCTTAGAATAACTTCATATTGTGTCGTTAATAAAAGAATATCACTTGGAACTCAATAGTAAATGATCATCGTGATCATAAATAAATATTTTTCAAATAAAATATTGGTACTAAAATGTAAATGTTAAAGTTGAAACCAATATTTTCAAATCAGTTTTTAATATCTGTAGGTGGTTTTACGAATGGAAATAAAGTCGTAGCCTGCCATCAATTAGATTACAGCTTAATGAATTTATCTCCAAACGTTAATCTGTTTTTGCAAAAGGGAAAATGAGGCTTGCCTTTAGAACAGGTAACTAAATATAAGCGTAACTATTTTATCCGGTTTCGTTTTTTTGCAAGAAGTGATTAAATTTTATAGAACTGCACGTAAATTATCTATGTTTACCGTTTTTCTTTGAAACTAAATCATAGCTTCATGTCTGTGATTGGTAAAGGGCCGTAACTCTTTGCGTACAAAGGGAACATGGTGATGGTGGCACATTTGGGGTGTAAAACTGCCACACGTACACGTCAGATAGACACATTTGCTAACCACAAAACTTTTCCCTAATGGACAATGACCGAAAGATCGTCTCTTGACTCTAATTTCTTTGATTTCTTGGATCTGATTTCTTAAAATAACCATACCTATTATGATCCTAGCCAATTACGGGAGGTTTATGTATGCATGCAAGGTGGTCATGTGACGGTGGTCGCGGTAACTAGTTTGTATCTCGGCCGTCGGCTAAGTGCACTGCGGCGGACTGTCCGAGTACTTAACCTAATATTCGGTAATTGCGTTAGGGGCCGCAACATAATTAACGGGCTCTCTCTGTTGGTCGGCTAAGACGGTCTATTGATACGTGCTTTGTGGTTCCTGGAGCCTATACCTACTTGAGACGTTAAATATTGCGGTCTAATGTGGTCGTAATGCAGTTACTATATGAAGCGACTTTGTTCGAGGGCATTTTTTGAAATAATTATAAAAGTTGTCAGTGCATTATTTAACTGCGCAATTCTTCACTGTTAAAACTTTACTTCACAATAATTATGCGCGTTACTCCTTTTTATTTTATTACATATTATATCATAGCGTTCAATATTTCTTCCTTATTATAGCGGGAAAGGAATAAAAAAGGACAATGCTTTCAATAATTTTATATAAACCATGTACAAAAACTTAAACCTATTTAATCACATAACATGAATGATACTACACGTAATTATAACTATTATTATAGGCTTACACTAGTCTTCATTTACTATAAATGATTGGACATATGCTATACAAGATAGCGGTATATATTTATTCTATTTACATTATCACACAAATCAATTAATATTAACAGGGCTTATAAAATAGTAGAATAGTTTGCACCAAGCTCATTGAACCAATGGTCACGTTAAAGTATACATGAACGGGTGGAAACTGCGTAGACCTACCGACATGGCGTACTAAGGGCGCGTCCAATGTGCGATTTTAGTTTAATTTTGTCACATTACAAAGAAGGTAAATCGATTTCTTCAAAATTATCTACACTTATTTAAGTTTACTTCCACTATAACTAAAATTGAAAACTATCTATTCATAATTTTGCTACTTAATATTAAATCAATGTTCTGAACCAGGTTTGTAAGCGGAATCCCAAATATCTGCGAAACAAACGCTGGAGTGGAATCTATAGAACATGATGAGAGGCAAACTAATATGGCCTAATATAGTCCAGATTACTTTGCCGTAGAACTCGTATCTCTCGTCGAGGCTATCAGGGGATTTGTAGGAGAAGGTGTTGAAGATCCACATGGCAACGTTAGCGATAAGGAGGAACATGAGAACTTCCCGACCTGGCTTCTTTCTTCGAAGTTTCTTGGTATTGCTACAGCGCCGGAGACCGTCCATGATCAGAGGCGTTTGGATCAACACTTGTATCACCTAAAATACAAAAAGATTGTATTAAGAACTTAGATAATTGACCTTAGTTTATTCTCTAAAGAAGTAGTTGTGACTATGGCTTAATCCAATGAAATAGAACGATTATTCGCAACAAATCCTCCAAGCTTTTAAAATTATTGTAATGTAATTAAACAATTTTTTAGTTTATTAAATTTAACCGCTTGGATGCTCAGCGCATTTATGAGACACAATAGAAATATGGATCCACGTTTAGACACACGACGGGTTAAAGAACTTACCATAACACAGAAGTCAATACTCTTCACAATATTGACATAACTGATTGTCGCCACTAGCGAGAACACAGTTTCCATGAAGAAGGCGGGGAGACAGATAAAGAGCAGTACATCATCGAGGAGTGAGATGGGGTGCTCGTTAATATCAAGCTGACGAAGCTGGTTGAACGCTATCACGACCGCGAACAGCAACAATACGTGTAACCCAAGTTTCGTGCAAGAGTTGAGAAGATAGCCAAGCTCCATGAACTCCCTGCAAAAGATAGAAATGTGTGAGTATATAAAGACACCAAATAAATTAAGTAATCAGAATGTAAAGTTAGGACGGTCGGAAGAATTAGTTGTTCTGATTGTGAATTTAGTCGAACCCATTCTCAGAAAACTGCAAACCACTGCCTTAATGTTACAATGCACATAGTTTACAAGACCCAAAACTAAACGAGTGGCTCTCTCTAGTAGTGTAAAAACAAATATACCTATGTGGTTGAATGCAAATAAAAATTGTTATATAAATCTTTAAATAATAATAGAAGAACTCTAAGTGTGGGAGAACCATGCTACGGCACGAATGAGCCGGCTCGACCGGAGTGATACCATGGCCTCACAGAAAACCGACGTGAAACAACGCTTGCTTTGTGTTTAGTCGTGTGAGTGAGGTTACTGGAGGCCCAATTACCCTTCCCTAGTCTCCCGAATCCCCGAATCCTCCACAATCCTCAAATTCCCAAAAGGCCAGTAACACACTTGTAACGCCTTGGTGTTTCGGGTGTCCATGAGCGGCGCCGATTGCTTACCATCAGGTGATCCGTCAGGTCGTTTACCGGTTTATGCTATAAAAAAACTCACTCTCCAACGCTGCTGAACACGAAGCCAATGATAAGCATGCCAGTGATGATGACCATCACGATGAGACCCAGGAACATGCCACGGTTGGAAGCGTGACAGTCAGCGTAGATCACGATGTTGCTTGTGAAATCGTTGTCTTCATTCGCCGTTGGTATTCTAACATAAAAAATACATTTTAGGTTTATCATACAATTTCATTAATTTAATCAAATTGTAATTACTTTTGCTCATGATAAACAATGACGTAATAGTTTGGAGTTCCTCAGCGCATCAATTTGATAGACAAATTAAGCGCAATAAACAGAGAGGTAAAGAAACTACATGTACACATGTAGTTTGATATAAAGACTTACTTGCAAAGATGATAAGTGTCTTCACTGGTGGAGTTCGCATCTGAATTAACATCTTCATTGTCACAATTACCGATGTTGCTCCAAATAATGTAGTAAATTGCAACTGAAACGGAAATTGTATTTCAAATAACTAAAATAAGCTTAAGAGGAAGTATTAATAACTTGAAAGAGGATTGGATAAAGGCCTTTAAAGATTGCTAAAAAAATCTATTCTGATTTTGAAGAATTCTTGGATTTGGCACATAAAACTCCATTCCCTTTAAAAGAAGCATTTTGGGGCATCCACCAGATATTAGAAAAGATGACAACCAGCCGGATCAATTTATAGACACGAATAAAAGACGTATTTATCGATGACATGTATCTTTCGAATTCGATTTTCCATTTCCAATTTACCGATTAAAGAGGAATTTGTGATACGTACCAATAAGAATATTAAATTCCACGCTGAACGGATAGAGGTACGGCGAGATTTTCTCATATATTGAATTAATGGCGGCAGAATTGTTGCAGTTCGGGTTATACAGATTACTTATATCGAGGAATCTCTCATCCAAAGGTTTTTCTGCAAAAAATGATTTGTTATGAAAAATAGTCAACAATATGTTCTATTACCATAATTTAACAAGAGTTAGCTCGATTGTCACAATTTTTAAGTTGTTAGAATCAAATAAAGTAATATTTTTGCGAATAGATAATAATAGCCTTACCATGTTCCGGCACGATAGAGTTTCCGTTATAGTCTGAGTAGTCGCCGTTTCCATACCTAGAATTGGCGTAAATCGTCAATCCTAGGATAGTCTCACGAACGATCGCAGAAATCCAGAAGCACAGACTGCTTCCAATTAAATGCATGAATGCGAAGTGTGCAACACCCTGAAAAATTTAAATATTTTTAAGATAAAATTGCTTTGGATTTTTCTCTAACAAGAGTAACAAATAAAGTATTTTTTTAATAGAATTATTTCTAGTTGGGCTTTTGGTTTAAACTACTACTACTACTTTGGTAAATAAACATCTTTTTACATATTTTGTGCAGTGATATCGTAGACCGATTTACTATTCAATGACCAATCAACGAAATCGGTTCTGACTATCAATAAATCTATTCCGTCATAACATTAATAATTCAAGTCTTTGTTTTTACTTTAGGCAATTCTAATACCTAATTAGGACACGTCTTAAATTTAACATTTAATGTATAGCTACATAGATAGGTGAGTTACATTCAGGGTTATTGAATTATCTCATGAATTACGCCTGCTTTGTATAATGTAATATGGTCAAATACATTAAGTGGAGCATGCATTGAATACGGATGAGTATGTACGTCTGTAGGTTGGTATGTATAGTTCACGCTCTAATATCAATACATTATACCTCTAGATACATTATGTCCACGGTTGATCAAATCTGTGTCAAGGTCTTTACAAATATGCATTTGTATTATGTATCTAGAAGTAAGTATAAAAGATTACCCTGACTAATTTATGACTGATGTAACCTTTAAAATACTGATGATAAAATTTCACATATATTTGAAACGAAACTAACACTAAAGTTTATTAAAATTAAGGTTGATAATAAACAATAAAAAATGTTTGAGAGCTTTCTGGATCAGAATTAGAGCTATACGATAGAATTGCAGTTACAGAAGATTATAATTACCTGATTCTTCAAAATGATGACGTTGGAATATTTGAAAACAAAGTACAGTTGTAAGAAGCAGTAGACCGGGAACAAAACATCGAGTACAACTTGTAAGATGTTCACACATTCATCGTTGTCAAGGTTCTCATCCACCAGTTGACCGATTTGAACGGCCAGCAGTAACACTGAATGCACCAAGTGACCAAGAGCGAAACCTGCAAGAAGAAGTTAGTAATTGTACTATTCTAATTCGTAGAGAATAATAATAAATATTTTTTCGGAGAATACACAAATGTTTAAAACCATTATTATTATTATTTTTACCTACCTTACAAGTATTATTTAGGAATGTGTTTGTTGATCTTAAGTTGTTTATATTGTTAGCGTTATTAACGTGTATAGGTATTTGCCGAACCTCATTTTATAAAAAATAGATTTTGATTGATTCATGATAGCACACGTTTAAACCTTAGTGGATTTTGGTTGCTATTTTAAATGGATAATCCTGTACTTATTGTTAATATGATAAATAAAAATAAATTTTTTTCAAGGAACACTGACAGCATTGTGGTACTTACGCTAAAAGTTTAATAATTTTGAAATTACAGTTCTGTATCGCGATCTAGCAATAGTGCAACGCCCTCTCAGAACAAGTGTATAATAAATAAATCCCGTATCATTGTCGAATAAGACGAAAAATAACTGGAATAGGCCAGACATACATTACTTACGTCTCATGCTATGATTTTAATGATAGTTATCAATTTTATCTGATCACAATTATTTATTATCTTAATAACAAGTAACATGTGATATTGAATACCACTGAAGTTCTCAAGAATAACACAATGTTATCAAAATTTGAGACATTGTAAATGTTTATGACTGTCCTTAGTTTAAATATCTTCCAATCATATGATCATTGTATTCCATTGGTCACGACATTGTTTGAATTTGACACCAGAATGTTTCTTTTATTGTATTAATTAATATTAGAGAACAATTTGAAACATTTTTATGGAATTGAAGGCAAACGAGCACACGGATCACCTGATGGTAAGCGATCAGCGCCGCCCATGGACACCCGATAAACTAGAGGTGTCACAGGCGGCTAGAGGTTGCCGGCCTTATAGAATAAGCTCATAAAAATTAACTACGAAAAAGTACAAGTAACTATTGAAAAAACAGGTGAGTTTATATAAGTATGTTTAAAATATATAGGTCTTTCGTTAAACTGGTGCTATCATTCAAGTCGCTGTAGGATTTTTGTTTTCGTAAATACTTTGATTAGATGCAAGTAGTGGAATATTATTTATCGTTGTAGACTAAATAGGAAATCTTTGTTTAACAGTGGATCTCTTTTTTCTGATGACGGTAAATTTTTAACATAGATGGAGTGAATGAGGGTAGGAATAATCCTTACCAGCAGCTCCCATCTTCAAGTAGAAACTTCCAGAATGCCGACCTTGGCTGAAGCAGTATTCGTGCTTGTTAGGAATGAGCACTGGTGGAGGCATGCCTGGTGGTCTATATGTTGAGGCTGATTCTGGAGTCCTGTCTCCAGGGGTCACTGAACCCATTTGTTCCTGGAATTTTGAGAAAATACAGTTAAGTATTTATTGTTACTTTTTGTTTAAGCAGGTGTATTCAGATATTTGTAATATGATATTTGATCATGATAAGTATATATTCAGTACAATTAAGTTAGAAAACGAACTTTGTAATCTTATTTAAAGTAAGTTTCTCACCTCTTGTTTCCTAAAGAATTCCATTATTTTTTCTTCATGCAAAGCTTTGATTTTGTGATTTTTAACTGCTATGGACTTATACCTTGTTATATCAAATATTAAGTAGAAAATGTACACGAATCCGATACTGCACAGAATAATTGAGTAAATCTGGAAAAATAAAGTTTTAAAGTTATGAAAGAAATTTCTAGAAAGAAATATTTCATTTATAGAAGGAATAAGATTGCTGCCGTAAGTTCCGTAAGTTGTAAGAAGTTTATATTTTATGCTATTTGCATAATGACGGGTACAGACTTGTGCCGTGTTTCTTTATTAAGGTACTGTTACACATGTTAATATCAAGCGCGAAAGCATGCTTCAATTGAGCACTTGTCACTTGGTAACTAGTGTGTCGGAATGTTATTTTTAGCGACTCCAAAAAAACTAATTTCAGGCATGTTTACGAATCTATGGGAGTTCGATTTTTGAAAATATTTGAGCGTGCTCAATAGTACGCCCTTTATGTCTGAATACTCAAGCGCTACTCAATTTTAAGTCACGCTCAAGTATAGTTCTGTCTTCACAAATTCTTTGTAAAATGACAGAGATGGCAATTCAAGCACGACTTAAAATTGAGTAACGTTTCAATATTCCGGCATTAGCTTGCTATTTTAAAGAATGCGTAACAGTACCTTTAAAATAGAAGGTAGGAAATCAAAATATGTTATCACAAGTTTTTCTAGGTGTAAAACAAAACACCTTTCAATAGATAAAACATTTCCGTGAAGGTAGTTGAAACGAAATAGGTGATGATGCGAAATGTTGATCAATATCGATAAATAATAAACTTTGTTATGAAAAACATAATTAATCTACATGAATCACTTATTTATTTTGATATGTAAGTAACTGTATTCGTAAACAAAAAACCCATTAACGTCGTAGAATGTTTTGTTGAACTTTTAAATAAAGACAATAACAAAATTAGAATAAAAATGTAACTAAATCCTTTCAAAAGAGCATAAATTTCCAAATTTTAATTAGATCAACTTATCACCCATATTGATGGAGATAGTATTGTTACAGTTCCTCTTTTTATAATTGTTGAATAAAAATTAAACCAATCCTACGAATGAAATTATCCTTTGTTTCTATCGATTTTGGAATCGCTAAAAATAACATATTTTGTAAACACGACCGTATAGTTAACATTAGAGATAAGATTGTTTCTGATAGCTTTATAGTCTGTATCGACCCTAAGGCAGTAGCTGGGTCGTTGGAACTAGGGCAGGCGAAGATCAGGTACTGATAGCCACTTAGAGATAAAACTAAGTCTTACATCGGAAATGGACTCGTTGACGAACGAATCGCCCAAGTACACCACTAGTCCAAGAGTAACCAATAGTACTGCGTACATGCAACTGATTATGAGGGTCAGGTATTTTCTGAAACAAAAGAAAGTTATATTAAAACTAGCTTTTTTACCCGCGGTTTCGCTCGCGTCACAAAAGGTTAAAAAGTAGCCTATGTGAAATATACCAATACACACAGCGCCATCTATACCAATACTTTTGTTTTCCCTCGGGAATATAAATTTTTTCCGGGATAAAAAGTACCCTATTATTTAATCTAGACTTCTAACTTTACGTCTGCAAAAATTCAAAGCAATCAGTTTAGTAGTTACGGCGTGAAATTAGAACAAACAAACAAACTCACTTTCCAATTTATAATATTAGTAAGGATTAACATAGATGTGTACCTTACGATGTTGACATAGCGTTTTTAAAAACAAACTTATAAAAAAAGAAACCTTTACGTCCAGCATAATTTTGGATACTACTGGGAATTTTTAAAATGATTAATACAGGACTCGTCCAATTCAATCGTTCGGTTATCAAAGCCTTGTACAGAAAATTCATTACATTTACAGTATTTACATCAACTTTACCTTTATACGGTAGCTATGTATTGTGTTCAGCTTTAGTTCTAACAGTAGCTGACATAGACACTAGACAGCCAACCTGTTATAGCTGTATATAGACGTCATCTAAACATAATGGACGTTAATGTATTAGCCATTACTAATACTAGGAATTTCGTGCTAAACCTATACGTAACGATTTACTATCATATTGTTCCATAGTATGTATAGTTCCTATCTCTTGTTAGAAATTGAAGCTAATGCAGCCGACTGACAATAGACACGTACAGCACAGTCAGTTTATAACGTTAGGTCCATTTCAAAATATTTAGTTATACACTTCAGTAGGTTAAAAGGTTGCTGTGTGAATCCGGCCGTTGTGATCGGCGAACTATGTCAGCAAGCCACGCCCAGCACAAACACTATGTATGTAAATCACTGCTAACTGTTTCAGAAATAAAATATTGAAGCAACTGCAGTTTAATAAAGAAATTGATTGATTTAATAATAGTGTGTGTTATTGTATGGACGTGCTGAATATTGGTGTTTATTTTAAAAGGAATTTTGTGAGCGGCGCAGTGTGTAGGGGACACATTTGGTGAAATAAATATATTTATTTTAATTGGTCTGAAGTATGTTTTCGTAAATTTCCATTTTTAACCAAAATTCACATAGTGATTACTGTTACATTTGTTTGATCGAGTGGTTACACATACAACTATGAGCGACTTGTACAAAATATACATGGTGTCCATTTTAAGCCGGCAAGAATTGAGTATTTATTTAATCTAAAAGTATTCATATGTTCACATGCTTTTAAGTTAAGTATATAGTAAAGCACTTACGATGTTAGCCTCTTGTTATCCTCGGGGCTGGTGGGTGGAGGTGCATGAGTTTCTACGGAACGGATGGACTGGGCATCCATTGTTGCTACGGACCTCTTTCGAGGGGTCGCTGTGCCCCTCATATCGCTCTGTGGCATGTACAGCCGGTAACTATCTGCAAAGATTTTAAAGAAAATAAAAATCTATTTATGTATTTCGAGAGGCCAGAGCAATCAAGCCAGCAAGGTTTTTATTTAAAAAAAAGTATTTTACTAAATAGATCTACACCGATTTTCTCTCATGCTTTTTACACAAACGAATGTAATAGTATATTATGCATAATATGGGATACATTGTGAAAATCAATAGTGAGACAATCACGGGAGATGTGTAAACTAGTATAATTTAAGAGCGCAGTAGGTAGAGTTATCGATTTTTTTTATCATTTAAAGTCAATCAATTTGTGGTCGTACGGAGTCATATTTGATCTTTATGTTAGGCGAAGTATCAGTTGATTTTGTTTGGACGTTTTGGAATTTTGGTGGACTTAGACTAAGGACACACGTAGCTTCGTGAGTCCGTTGCCTTAGTGCCTATTTTACAAAAAGGTGCCGTACTTATTTATTACGTGGCATTTATTTATTTATATCATTTAAAGTTAATGATGGAGCGGGCAACTTTATTTTGTTATACTTAAGAATGAGATTGCTTTGAGAATTTTTGATTACCTGTTGAGATATGGACGCTTATGTAACAAATAAATTACATAAAATATCTTGCTTTATCTAATAATTATTATTTATGATACCTTATGTTTTCTGCCGAGTTTGTCTGCTATTATAAAATTATTTATAGGTTGTTATCATGTTCCTAAATCATTTTATGATTCAAATGGTATTATTGCCAGTCTCTAAGGAGTTCATTGTTAAGTATAAAAACTCGTGATCATTTCTATATCGGACAATCAACCGGAAAGTTAATATTTTGCATCATAAGCGTATCTCGAACTCTGCACTCGACAGTAGCGTGTATCTATTTCTCATAAAGTTATCAATAAAATGGACAGACATGTCAGAAAATTAACTTTATAAGCCTACCTATTACTTCAAAACCACTTCATACAGGTTGATCTGAAAGGAATTGAGAGACGCCTATGTTTAGGAATGGCGGTCTGTGATTGATGTGATTGTCGTCGAATAGAACAAATAGGTAACTTAAGTATAGAATCAAAATATTACTATCGTTGCCAATCGATATCGTTGCCCTTTATAAAACTAGCCATAAAAACTAGATTCATAAACAATGTTTGATTTAAATATAATTACGTGGAATTAAATGTAATTTATTTATTGATAAACTGAATCGTATTTTTCCATCATGTGACAATTACATAAAAGTACATTGTAGTGGAGAGATATTTGGCATAAGTGTGTAAAAAATTATCAAATCATCCGTCTTAATTTTAATCTCTAGTTTTTTATCAATTAATTCGTCAATCATGGTCATGTAATCCAAGTTAGACAATTTGGATAATTTATTATTTATCAATTTGCGATTATGACGCAATTGTAAGTAATGTACCAATTGTGACGTTTCATTTAAATGACAGAAGACAGGACCGGTGACATCTTCATATTTACTTTTTTTTTACTTTACGTCATTATGTCAGTAATTCATTATCTGTGTGTATCTTAATGACAATGCTGTGTACCTACACAAATGCAAATTAGCACTTAAAGTAACTGACACAAAGTCAAAATCTGAATAACATGTTAAATGTTTTGTCCTTATTTTAAAAATAAAGTCTGTAAACTCGTTTATTTAATTAAAATCTTGCGGAAGTCAGTGAGTCCATTGATATCTAACTGATTGCGAACTGATAGAAGCGTTAGCAAATGTAATAATTTTGTTCGAAGATTTAATGTTATGTTATTCATGTATTGTTAATCTCTTAAACCAGGTCATAAATATTGATGTAAATGGTAGATAATGTTGGACATAGAACACCGGGAAAGTCCTATATTCATGGCTCTAAGTAACAAGGAAAATCGTATTATCTATTAGGTACTTTATGTAACCATAATTTATTATTTTTCTAATAGGGTAGGCAGGTGAACCGTATACAAGATTAACTGTTCATCAGTTAATGACCTATAAATTAATTAAATTTTACCATTGAGAAAGTCTACGGTCAAGTCAGAGACATTACTGAAAACCACATGATGTTAAACCTTTATGCAATTAGACAAGATATTATAGGTAATAAGTAAATCTGTGTGGATCAAATATTTAAATACACTTACTTAATGATTTGGCGTCTCCATTTTTGAGGTTACCATTGTACAGCATAGGGCTGGCGCGGTCACCTGATAAGTAAAAATAAAATTAAGTGACGTCATAAATATATCAATCTGATGCAATTATACATATACGGTCCAAAGTATTATGCGCAGTACAAATGAATAATTTTAAATGACGCATCTGTTTAATGAAATGTATCGTGTAACCGAATTGGTTGTGGAAAAGCGTTCATAAAACCCAACCTAAAAGGAAATGAGCGTATAATATTCGCAATTTGAGTCATAGGATCAATTTCTCTTTACTTACCAATAGGTGTAGCAGATCCCGACTCCTCTCCTCTACTAAGATTAAGTATTCTGGGTGATTGCTTCTCATTGGTGGATTCCTGTGAAAAACATCGATATTTAGAAACGCAATAAAATCTCGCTTGCAAATGCCTGCCAGCAAATTCATATCTGCATAGCGACGGTGGCACGGGCGGGCTAAAAAAGTGGCGAACATGCACATCGAAAGCCGTATAAAATCGGATTAATAACTTCATTAGCCGCTTGTTTCTCTCGATCGACACCACCCTGTATTTCACTATAATCCCATTACGGTGTTTCAGAGCACCTCTGCAGCGAATTTCGGGCCGTACTGTAAACTGCCAACGAAAAAAGCGCTTTTGTTGGCTACGATACTTCCAATGAACTTAAACTGCATTGTTAAACGGAATCCTTTCAGATTTCATACTTGTTGTTCATGTTCATGCATGATATGTAAAGCTAATTGATATTAGTGGATGGATCATTGTTGAGAGTTAAGACATGTTGTTGTGTTTTAAAAGGTTAATGTTTTTTTAAGAAAAAATAATGTATTGATAGTCAACTTACAAATCTTTCTATGACAGTGTGACCAATGACAATGCATTTCTGATATGTGACGTAGTACCTACTATAGCTATCTTTATCGAAATATCTTTATTAGACAAGGATAGCAAAAGTTAATTAGTTTACTATCTCATACGTCAGCTAAGTATCGGACATTGTTTTACCTTAAAATATCTAAATTTGCGTTTTCGGTACGTAAGCTTACATTTACATTTTCCAGCCTAAAGTTCATATCGATAGATAATAATTCGTCATCACATGCTATCGAGTAATCAATCTCCGCACGTGTACTTAGGATAGAAATCAAAGGTACTTGTGACAATCGGTTAATGATATTGAATAGGTATGTGAAACAACTGAATAAGTTCCGAAAAAACAAATGACTCGAGTTTCAATGATCAAAACTATGATGATACGAATGGTATACTTTACGGTACGATAATTGACAACTAGGTAGTCAAATTCTATCGAAACGTCAAAAACGATACTTGCAATGTGGAGCCAATGAGGGAGACGTGTTGTTCTTAGTAATATCTTTAATTGAGTGTCCTAATATCTAACTTACACTACTTACTTATAGGGCGAGGTGTCACACACACTACACCTCCCCCGTTTTTTGGAAAAAAAAAATTATTCTAATACATTTTTTTTTAATTAAACTGTTAAAATATTTCTAAATAGAATTAGTCGCACTGTTGACAATTATTACAAAATATTTGTTAAAATTCTATTATCAATTTATCCTTCGTACATATTTATTTTTCATATTTATCATTTAATCACTTTCCTTTACCCTAAACTTCTATATCTTTTATAACTAGGTACACATAATATATTTTATTTAAAACTTTTCACTATCATCGTAAGGTACATACTAACATACACATGTAAGCACATTATATTTATACAGGACTCTCCGGTACCTGTTAATTATTTCATTATATCTTCTCATTATTATTTATCATTGTGCTTACTTTATTTAAGTATTTATTCATTTCATAATTTAGTGTCAATATTTAAGATTCTTATGATCTCCAATAATTTTCACAGAGAGAGCTCGTCTACACCATGATCAAATTAAGGACATGAACACTAAACTGTACCTTACCATGTGTACCTATTATATTTATTATTTACTTATCTTTCAACTATCAAAACCTAACATAAACACAATCCAATTGAATAGCTTGGTCGACAAAATATCACGTTGTCCTTAGGTGATCAGCCCTCAGTCATACGCCAAAACTTGTGTACCAAGTCATTCTAAACTACTTAAAACCAAACTTACATACTTATACGAACAATAAACACATTCCAAAACCTAGCTAATATCAAATTTCATTCATCTAATTTATTTATTTCATAAGACAAAACCAAAGTGCAGTTGTTATTGTTAATCGGTGTCAAGTAACACGATTCTTTCAATACAATCTGACACTCGGTATGACATCATTTACCTATATGGCCATGAGAACATTCCTTTAATCTGATTAATGTTAGCGAACTACGAATTTTAAAAAAAATCTCTAAATTACAACAAAAATTTGCAAGATTGAACATTAGTTCATACAAAATACTTAATATTAAAATGATTCAATACAAAAACTAATAATATTGTCAACAGGCGTGAACTATATCTAGTGTATACATACATATATTATAAATAAAATGTTTAAAATTATGTGAAATAGCTAAAATTACCTAATATACGTTGGGCCCTTATTAAAATTATGTTTATCTTACTACTACAGTTCTATATACTGGTGTCCATTTTCACTTTTTAACTACACTAAAACACTTAACATTTAAACACAAAGTACTTTCGAGTCCGGTTACTTCGCGTACCCAGGGTAGCGGAGATTCTCTCAAACGCTACCTGGTCGCCAACATCTCCCGGCTCCATCCTCCAGGACACCAACTGCTCCCGGCAGGTCTACATCTGGCTCGATCGACACCCAGCAGCCAGCAAAACCTCTCCTTTTTTTTGCATTTTTGCTAACACTGATACGCACTTTAGTCCACGATTTAGTTTTTTTTTATTCTTTATTATTTCTTTAGTCTTTATTATTTTTAACAAACACAAATATCCAAAATTGTACTCGTGCTCAGCGCTGCCCGCGTGGCAGCACTGGCAGGGTCGCCATGCAATGTGGAGCCAATGAGGGAGACGTCTTAGTGTTATGAATGTCTTTAATTGAGTGTCTTAATATCTAACTTACACTACTTACTTATAGGGCGAGGTGTCACACATACTATGAATTTTGTACGAAACACCATCTTATATGATGTCATCATATTTTCGCGTCAAATAGCACACTTATATAAACATAACATCACGCCTTTTATCCCCGAAGGGGTAGGCAAAGGTGCACACAGAAGTAACACTCACTTTTCACTATTTATGTTATGAGTCCCATGTAATAGGGGGTGAGCCTATCCATATACCAGGTACATTTCCAGACTCCGTGCTAATACTGAGTTTTTTTTTAAGTAACACTTTACCCGACCCGGGAATCGAACCCGAGACCCCTTGCCCGGTAGTCGCACTTGCGACCACTCGTCCAAGGTGGCAGGCACACTTATATCTAAAAAAAATGCTAGAATAAATCTAAAATGAAGTATATCGGCAAATCAATGAATGAAAATGTAACTATTTTTCAATATTTAATTGTACTGAAAAATCAAAATAATTTATGTTTGACCCAGGATTCTACCCAGTTCCGTTCGTGAAGTAAGTCGACGTCCGCGCACTTATCTTGCTCTTATAATCATATGTGCTCAATTATTTTTAAGAAGATTAATCACTTGTTTCACCTAGTAAGCAAACAAGTTCAAATCCACTACGAAAATGTATGCTGTTGAGTGTTTTGTAAACCTTAACAGTGGCTGTAAAGGAAATAAAAAGTAGAGATCGAATTTTCATTAGGCGAGGCGTTGGGGCGGCACGGTGTGTCCGCACTCGGTATTAACAGGCAGGAGGGGGTGAGCTCGACGTGGCAGGTGGGGGAGGGGGGAGAGGGTGGCTCGCGGCCGGTTGGACTCAAAAGGTTTACAGTTGGCTGCGCGAGAGTGACCCGCCTCACAAACACGGGCCGCGCTCGCCGCTCGACGCTATGGAAGTGTATCGGCGCTTTACAAACCTTTTATAAATTTATTTTTGTTGCAGGAATGATCATTTTGATAGACAGCTTTAATTAATACGTCCAACTGAATATATTGTGGAGCAATTTTTAAAGAGTATTTTTAAAATGCATTCCGTTGTAATTTTTTCTTTTATAAAATGTTTTTACAATTGTTTTAATTTATTTTTCTCATGGGTAGATACAGGAAAATTCAGATACTTCGAAATTAATAAATCGTATATCTATGTTACAGTATCATATCTCTACATTCTATTGTACCTAGTCATTCATTGTACGTATTGTTGATATTTATTATCTACTTAGCTATTATTTTCTATGTTTAAAAAACGTTAGGCTGTCCTACTTTAAAAGTGCTTTGCGCTAATGTAAGTTTACAATTAATTAATTCTGAGGCATATCCATATGGTCCTGTAGTAGAAAATTATTACAACCCATTGGCTCCATATATACGAATTCGTTGTTTAAACTACGAGCACCGCTTAAAATAAATTCGCTTCGTATACTGGCTAAAACCGCCTGTTGCAATATTATAACAAAATTATCAATTTTGCAAGTACAATCTTATTTATTACATAATATACATACGTAATATTACATCACATAGTAAAAAGAAAAATTGCAAAGACACAATATGTTTATTTTATTTATGATGTAGTTTGTTATTAATGTTATGTGTTAAAAAGTTACCGTATAGCTTTTGGAAGATGAGGTGCTAACTATTACTATTATATTTTTGCTTTTTATAGAAATTTAAGATAAATCAATTATTTTGGTATGTAAGTACTTTTTAGTTACTATGTGCTATCTCATTTCTATAGGAATGATAAAAACATGTGTCATTGTTACGCCTTAACCATTTTTAAACATTTAGAAAACATTTTATATTGAAATACAGGTGAAGGCATGTGAAAATCATATAGTGGATACGAACATACATACATACATTATGTCATTGATTTACGTCTCGACAATTTTAAACTTTTAGAAAACATTTTATATTGAAATTCAGGCGAAGCCATGTGAAAATTATATAGTGGACACAAAAATGTAAATATTCATTGTTATCAAACGAATGATTAAAGAATTTTCGTAATCGGATAATTTCGATAAGTAATCATAATTAATTAGTAATGACTCTGTTTTGATTAAAGGTTTTGATTTTTTGAAACGTTGTGTTTTGGGTTTTGCCTAAAAAATTCAATATTTTTTATATAAATATTATGATTTCATAATTGTTACTATTAAAAAGTTTGGATAGATGTTAATGTAACATCGATTACCAAATATAATTTATGTTTTTGAACTAAATATTTATATAGTAAAATACCTTTGTCGTGATGATTGCTTTTTACTTAATATTTTTTCCAATTCGCAATAGAAAATCGTATTGTGTCACTATCGCTATTTTTTGAGTTTATCGCGGTGAACGATAATATTATGTATACCTAATCAAGCACGACAGGGGGTATTATTCTGTACATCATTTACTTGATTATTTTAAATAAATTAATTTGATTAAATAGTGTAAGTATATTAAATAGTGTATATTGGTAGGTCAATTTATCATATTTGTCGCAGTTCAATTGCAAAATGAATTTTATATACAAAGTTGCCAAAAAAACTGGGTATTTAATAAAACATCTAGAATTGTAATACTTGTCGATGGATTGGATTCTAGAAGAGAACAATTTCCCTAAGCATTTTTCGTTTGAAAATTGTAAGTTCGATTTGCACTATGCCGTTTATTTTACAGTCCACATCTTAAAACTTACTGACTACTATACCCATTTATCTCGACTTTAATATATTGTATAACTCTTTTATTAGTTCCTTTGAAGCATTGAGCTAAAAGTATGTTGTACTGATACATTTGTTCGCCATTATCACTGCATAGTAACCTTTAAATCGAAGAAACATTTGATAAAATGATAACTACAAGAATTGCCATGGCCTATCAATCTATATATTCAATTTTATAAATAGATTTATAATACAATAAACTCCGATAACCTTCGTCTTTAGTCGATTGAAGGTTTATTTTTTTGCAAAAGATATGGGCTAAGGATAAATAGTTAACATTGTTTATGTTGGAAGGTTAATAAAAAGGACGACATCTTTTTCAATTAAAATCAGTCATTTGTGTTTTTTGAAAAGGAAAACACACATTCTTAAATATGCTCCTATTTCGCGTGGTATTGAATAATTAATAGTGTACCGGAGCATGGTTTGTTCCACAACCTACCAAGGTTTATTGAAGCAGTACAAAGGTTGAATATCACCGTATTGACTAATTGTTTTAGTGTTGTTATAATATGTCATACTTAGAGTTACATAACATAACATCACGCCTTTTTATCCCCGAAGGGGTAGGCAGAGGTGCACATTTCGGCACTTAATGCCACTGTACAATGTAACACCCACTTTTCACTATTTATGTTACGAGTCCTATGTAATAGGGGGTGAATCTATTGCCATATACCGGGCAATGTTACTTAGAGTTACATAAGTTTTATTAATTAAGTTACATGTCGGAGTTAAATATGTAAGACAATATGACATTCCATTGGCATTAGCTGTAAAATGTCATATTGTTAGGTGTTCTCACTACATAGTATAAAACAAAGTCGCTATCCGCCGTCTGTCTGTCCCTATGTATGCTTAGATCTTTAAAACTACGCAACGGATTTTAATGCGGTTTTTTTAATAGATAGAGTGATTCTTAAGGAAGGTTTATATGTATAATTTTAATAATACATATTGCACCCGTGCGAAGCCGGGGCGGGTCGCTAGTAAATAAATAAAAAATAGGTTAAATTACACGCGTGGACTATTTAAAAATAAGTATGTACATCATTATTCTCATTGTAATAAAAGGCAAGCTGTTACATTTAATATATTTTATATTTTTCAAATGAAAACCAAAAATTAAATCTACTATTCAATTGAGCATCATTAAATGTGTTTGCATTTCTACTAACATGGTCGTCAGATCCATTTGTTTGTCTGTTTACAACAAACAACTTTCTTGTTTTTAACAAAACATCAACAACAGACCATTTTTCTAGATTCAATTAACAGGAATCATTCAATAAATTAATCTAATCAATGTCTTATCTGTGTGTAGGAAAACCCCAAGTTCTTTACTCGTACGATTATTCATTTTATGTCTTTATTCTTACAGTTGAAAGTTTATAGACGTATTTTTCAAAAGGTTTTTCCTCCTATATTAAATTCAATATAGTCCTTTATTGGTTACACTGAAATTAAGAGATAGTATGCAGTAAACTTTCCAAAATTTTCCAATATCATATTGATTGCATTTTTGATATGAAAGTTGCATTCATTGCATGATTTGTTTTTTTTTTGCTCCAATAAAGAAATTTTCTTTTAATCTAAGTGTTCATAAACTTTTATTCCCAAAAAAGTCAGTTAAAGGTACCACAATACACATATTAAAACGTTACACACAATTTTGTACCCACGCTTTACTTCTTAGTTCTAGTTTTCATTAATCTATTTTCTAATTATTTTAAGAATGTTTTGACTGACTATAGCCTTAATTTTCGTTAAAATATGGAACTTAAGGTTGACTAAGTAGTTACGTATGAACAAAAAATGCTCAGTACAGTCAGTGCGGTTAGGCTCTGATTGTTATAACCGTCAATTCTTCAATCTGTTTGTTTAAAACATCATCTATTGTAATAGTTGTTAGTCACTGGTAATACTGATACAAGTATATGCCTAACTCCTTCACAAATAAAACAGGAGGAGCCCATTATCTTCCCGCTTGAGAGATCAGTTGAATAAATAAATAAAATATTTATTCACTAGTTTCTGCCAGTGGCTTCGCCTGCGTTCCCGGGGGTAAAAAGTAGCCTATGTGTTACTCCAGACCATATTCTATATTTATTTCAAATTTCATCCCGATCTTCATTTAGCCTGCGGGTAATTTAACATTCGACAAACTTATATTTGCGTTTGGTACAGTAACTGTGTCTAGGGATCGAGCCGCACAAATAAGTTTGTTTTTTTGTGCATATACTTTTTCGGGATAAAAATTATCCAGTGTTGTGCCCAGAATATTAAAGTATAATCATACCAAGTTTCATCGTAATCGGACTGGTAGTTTTTGCGTGATGCGTGAACATACATACAGACAGACAGACAAAAACAATTGATCACATTTTTGGCTTTGGTATGTGTCTAGTAACACGCCCACTATTTATTTTTTAAATATTTTCAATGAACAGAATTTACACTTCTATTGTTTTATTATAATGTTTAGATCATATTTATTTATCAGTTGAATATCAAGCTTCAGGTTTATAAGAAAATTCTGCTATACCGGTCTATCACCTTGTGTTAATTTCTAGCTCTAAGGAGACCCGCGGAAAGAGTAGAGGCACCCTACTCAGCCATCATTACATGAGTTATGTGATATTACGTTTATAGATAAATTGATTCTAATTATATCCATGACATGTCTCCGAAACGTTATCATTCACGGTTTTCTGATTCAGTCAGATATTGTTTATTGTAATGACTTATTTATTTCCTTCAGTTCAAAGTGATTCGATAAATATTTACGTGTTAGTATTGCTTCATATCCTTTGAGTGATTTTAAAGCAATGCTTCATGATTCGTCTAATCGATTTCGTGTTAGATCGAATAGATACAGGAACGTGAGTTCTTTTTATCGATTATTGATTAGATTAATTAAGACAAGAATAATTTTTTGACATACTAATGAATCGTACTAGATTTTGTCTATTATTCTTTATTTAAATTATTAAAAAATAATATGAAATATAGCAGGATTTCTCAACCTTTTTCTACGGGCTACGGACTCCTCTTTTTAACTAAATTCTTTTTAATTGGTAGTCGATTACAAATGATTTAATTGACATCAGCATAATTAATATTTTAATTTTCTTCACAGATTCCAAATTGAGAAACGCTGATTTAATGCAATCGGCAATTAATTTATCTGTCAGTCATCGTTGTGAACGTCTGACATACGAAATTCCGATGAATTCGTACAGCCCATGCTTTTGTTCGAAAATCTATATTTTTATGTTAATAGTTTTAATGAAAATGTATGTCTGTTTTAATTAATTTTCTTTGAATTCATTTTACGTGTTGTTTATTTTTATTGGAATAGTTTGTTGACATTTGTACCACATTTCGCAAAAGACATAGGTAGGTACAATCACAGAATATAGAGCATCACAAATTGCGTTAAATAAATAAACATATACATCATCATATCGTTTTTTACTACTAGTATTATTTACTTGCTTGTAAATAATACTAGTAGTAAAAAAAATTCAGAAACCCTAAGACATTTTATGATCCTTATGAACAGTACACATAAAGGTACTTACACTTCGTTCAATGTCTGGGTGGTACATGACATTTCTCTGTGGTCTCCGTCGTGCAGCTCTGGCAGCTGATGCAGTCACAAGACTGCCTGACACAGGCCCCGGTTGTGACATGGTGCGTCTTCGGCCCTGCATGTCTTCAGAACTGGAGCCGTTGCTGATTGATGCATTCTGGACCTGGAGAAAAAAACATAGATAAATTAATAGATTGATTTATTACCCCTCGAAGGATTTTTCATGTATCTCTTATTTGTTATTGTAAATTGTATAAAGGTTCTTGTTTATGATGTACCTAATATACGTAGTTTTGCGAGGTTGTTAGTGTTACATACTCAGTAGATTCGTACAAAAGTAATTATTGAGAAAAAAATCATAACTATAGTAAAAAAATCATAATTCGTTTCTGTGTTCAATCAAATTATAAAGTTTCTAATGTATATGAAATATTATATTTCACTGCTGGTATATTAATTAATTAAATAAGACAACGTTACCTAAAAGTGCATACATAGTTCCTATATCATGTCTATATGATAGAAAATATCAATTAGCCCGCTGATTAAATCTTCAACTAAACTTAATTATCGGAATCGGAAGGGTTCTTTTACATATTCGTAATTAAATATTCGTATAAAATATATTCACTACATTAGTGAATATATTTTATACGAGTATCAAAGAGAAAATAATATTTATTCTTGAATGGAATATATAATTTGCTAGCAGATATAAGCACTGGTTTTCATATTAAGGAATGATTGTAGAAGAGAAAGATATTAATGTAAACATGAATACTTTTTATTTTATAGGTTGTGTTTTTTGTGACTAAACAAGAAATGGAATGTTTATTAAATAACTTTGAGTCAAATCCTTATCTTTAAACATCTAACTGGCGCTTTCATGAAATTAAAAGTCCGAAGTACTCAATTGTGAAAAATAATCAAACAAGATAAACTGATAACGTATCATAATTAGTTTACACTTTGGATAATTGCAAAAATGTTGATGTGTATTGGAAGCGGTTTAAAGACAAAGAGAGAACAAAACCGGATACCTTATCAAACACTTTATAAATAGGTACTACTTACGTGATTCCTAGCTCCACAGCATTTTAGGTATGGGAGCATAGCTCTATTAACATCAATCGAACTTAATCATCAGTAACAACATAGTATCTGACATCAGAACAACATTTCACCAACGTCCCGTAAAACAATAGGCCAATACCACTATTCACGTTTATCGCATCTTAATTGAATATTGGTCTAGTAGCGTAACAATAGGAGCTCAGGTTGAGGTATTGTGTGACAATATGTAGCGCTGTCCATGCATCACAGACGGTACTGTGTCCATCTCAGCTCCGACTAAGACGCTTATGAGCTCTGCATGATGAGCTCCTGACAGAACGTCTGTCGGTAACTCAAAATGCGTCGAGAACGGTATTTAGTAAAGATTTTCGTATTGTCATTGTAATTAGTGATAGTCTTTGTTTTCAGTTCTTTGTTTATTTGGCTGTTGTCGACGGGTTGATGTTTGTTACTCACAACTTGAGATCAATGCCTATCAAAGTATTCAAATGTGTGTCACTGTGTGATCTTTTGAGGTCGAACTGTGTACCTATCAGTTCTGTTAGTAGTAGAACATAGGTGTTATTTTTCCTTGCATAATAAGCTTATCGTAGTATTTTAGCCAAATATGGCAGAATTTCAGAATACACTAGCCTAAAAAACATGTATATTAGCATTAACAATTTAACTGTCCAAGGAGTCACATAAGACTCACCAAATTCTAATAGAAACTACAAGGACGTGTATCAAAAACCTGATCATTAAAAAAGTAATGGACTGGGGTAATTGTAAATTTTATTATATGGGGACAGTTAAGTTGTTAGATGTTATAAGTATAGCCTTTTACAAATTTTATTAACACTCATTGCACGCGATTGTAAGTTAGCCACAAGTGTTACAAGTGACATATTTTTCTTTTTCAATAATCGAGTCACGTAAATGTTCACTATCCAGATGATCACTATTCACCGAAATAATTTACTATTGGACTGAACAACTGAATTACATGGGACTCATAACATAAATAGTGAAAAGTGGGTGTTACATTGTACAGTGGCATGATGTGCACCTCTGCCTACCCCTTCGGGGATAAAAGGCGTGATGTTATGTGTTATGTATGTGGACTGAACAAAACAATTGCCTGTGCGGAAACAATTTTCTATAAATAGAACGAAGGAAATAATTTTAGTAGTGAAGAAAACATGAATATGATTTTTCTTTAGTCGTCATTATCGATTTATATAAATCTAAATTAATTATTATATTTATGGAAGAGTATAGAAAGTACTAGAAAAGGGGTCTAAAAATAAAATAGATAAGGAGTCAGTACTTACTCCAGGGTCGTCTCCGCTAGCGTCGGGTGTGTCCACTCCTTCATCTTCACCAAATTGTTGTAGCGATGTTTCAGAGTGAAATTTTTTATTTCCCAAACCCTCTCTATTCATTATTTCATCCAAAACCTCCTTCTTCGCAGCATTAGTGTCCGTCATTTTCGAATTTTAATCACTTAAAAAAGCTTCAAAAACTATAAGTTTACTATTTTTTTTAAACAATTAATTCAGTCTCTAAATGACATGTTTGTTGACACTAAGCTCGCGCGATTTAGATTGCAAATGAATTAATAAAAACATGATAGGTAGGTATCCTATCTGTTATCAAAGTAAAGACGTATCTATAATAAAGTTTTAATTATCGCGATTGTGATCGCGTTTACAATCGTCGCACGCTTCCTCCTTGCGTCGACAAAACCATCGGAAAAAAATGATAAACTCAATTATATTTGAATGATTAATATTTTTTTTATGTAATTATTTAGATTTGGGTTGCGTATTTAAGTTTAATGATAAGGTATTTCCGTTGTTTTGTTTTAGTTTATTGTGACGAATCGCTACTACTAAGTTCGAGTTTGATAACCTGACCCAACCTAGATCAATAAATCACTTTTTATAATTTCCTAATTTTTTGTAGGATAATCCGATAAACAAGCTGACGGAACACTTGATGGTGAGCAATCAGTGTCGCCAATGGACTCCCAAAACAACAGGAGCGTTATCAGCCTTATGGGAAATAGGAATTTAAGGATTGTTGGAGATTCAGGGATTGGGGTGATTGGGGAAGGGGGGATAATTTGGCCCCCGGTAACCACACTCACACGACGAAACACAACGCAAGCGTTGTTACACGTCGGTTGTCTATGAGACCGTGGTATCACTCCGGTGGAACCAGCTCATTCGTGCCGAAGCATGGCACTCCCACACTAAACTTGGATTCCCTGTTGATTAAATAAATTAAATGTTAAAAAAATACTTTAGTGGCATGGCGCTAAGTTTCAATATGACCATGTTTTTATTATTCTTATTAGTTTTTAATCATTTTCGCACATTTACACGTAATTATAGATTTTATATCAACTGATTGATTTCACGTGATATCTTTTCTTTTGGTACAATGATTGAATATTTGTCATTTATACCTATAGCATTGAAACCATTCATTGTCACTGTACAAATATTTCATTTATTAACGAAGTATTTCATTTGAAACTGTTTCCAAAAGATGATTTAATGTAAGTAAAAAGATTTTTAACATAACATAACATAACATCACGCCTTTTATCCCCGAAGAGGTAGGCAGAGGTGCACACAGAAGTAACACCCACTTTTCACTATTTATGTTATGAGTCCCATGTAATGGGGGTGAGCCTATTGCCATATACCGGGCACATTTCCAGCCGCGAAATTTTCGAGCCGCGGTTCCGCGGCTCCGTATCGGCATCAGCCCAAAGACGGTATCTGCCGTCTGTCTGGATAGGGATATGTATGGTTAGATCTTTAAAACTACGTAAAGATCAGAGTGATTCTTAAGGAAGGTTTATATGTATTATACATGCTTCAAATCATTTCTAAGGGCCGATTTTTCAATCATCAGTTAATTCATAGCCGAGGAATAACTTTGCTCAATTCTCCCATACTAGCAATTGTCTTATGTCAATTTTATTCTACAGTTAAGATTTTACTAATAAATGAAAAATACCCCACCTATGTGACATTATGTCTGCCTTCTTTCCAACGTCCTTGTGGCGACACATGGTACATGTCAACAGATGACGTCACAAAAATCTTACATCGCACATGCAAAGTTTACATGCAAATTAATACGGATAGAAAATCCCAATGAACAACTGTTGGGCATAAAGCCCGCCAGGCACGATCACCTCGCCTGGTCGGAGGATCCTCCTTTTCCGATCTTAGGGAATTCCCTATAGTAGAATATATAGATAGTATAGAGAGTATAGTTACACTCTCTGTTCCCTAAATCCTTGTCGCCTCTATTATAGATCACCATACATGTAAATATATTATGTTATATTTTCTGACTTTACAGTAATTAGAAATCCAAAATCATTTTACCGGATCCGGAAATCAAACCCGAAGTAAGACAGTCATAAGGATACCTTGCCCTTGTAATATTAACCTATACAACTGGTGATAATACGATCCGATTACTCATTCTGGTCACATGGTAGAACATGTTCGTTATCACTTTACAGGCTAATTTTCTTAGCACGCATCAGTGTTAATCTCATGATTGATTAGGTAATAAAGGGTGATTTTTTTATAACTGTAATTTATATTTGTACTTCTTTATAACAAACTGCCTCGTAGGCCGTGTGCTCGCAAGTGCGACTGCCAGTCAAGGGGTCTCGGGTTCGATTCTCGGGTCGAGCAAAATGTTACTGAGTTTTTATAAAAATCTCAGTAGCAGCACGGAGTTTGGAATTGTGCCCGGTATATGGCAATAGGCTCACCCCCTATTACATGGGAGTCATAATATAAATAGTGAAAAGTTTGGAGGCTGAGTCACCCTCGTCCGTAGGAGAGCACCCCAAAATCAATATCCCTATACGTGGCCTCTGGGTGGTGCTAACCAGGTGACACTTTGGTGGTAGGCTTCGGCCGCCGGCTTTATGACCACCCATCGAGCAAAAGCGTGTCGCCAAGCGGCCCAGCCGTGTTCCGCCACGATGCTCGGTGACGCCGTATGAGAGGATGGGTCGAGATGGTTGTTCCACTGTAGGATAGCCGGTCTGACGCGCGCTGGTGTAGCTACACCGGGTGTCCAGTCGCGGAGGGTAGCGGGATCCGAGGCACGGTGCACCGCTGGCCGACCGCAGATAGTTGGGGGCCCAACTAGCGTGCTAGCCACACGTGAAAGGCTTCCCCGCCATCTAGCGAAAAATCCCATGGATACGCCATCGTGCCGGTTGGCGACCGGAGGAGAGGGCCCGATGGATATTCGTGGGGGGGCTCGGGCGTCCCCGCAGTCTCCAGACTGGCCTCCCAATGGTGTGGTTAACTACGGTGCGCGTCGTGGGGTCGCCTGCGTGGGGGACCATTTCACTGCCATCCTCTCAGCAACCTTCCACTCTACATTATGACACTGAGAAATAAGAAAAGGGTTCAACAGCGGCTGCACTCCCTCTCCTTCATAGTGCACCTCTCAAATATTCAAGGTTTGCACTCTAATATCAATGCGGTCCATCACCACCTCGAGACCGAGAACCCTACACTCTTGTTTCTCTCGGAGACCCAGATCAGGTGCCCGTCGGACGTATCCTACCTGAACTACCCTGGTTTTTCCCTGGAGCACAATTTTGTTCCGCATGCAGGTGTATGCGTATACGTCCGAGACGGCATCTGTTACCGGCGTCTCCGAAACCTTGAAGACCCAAGCTTTTCTGTTCTCTGGATACTGGTGGACATAGGCATGGAGAAAATTCTTTATGCCTGTGTCTATCGGTCGCACAGCGGAGATTTGGAGGCGACCAGATTAGCGCAATACCTCGGCGAAGCGGCGGATGCGGCTCGTCAGGCGTACCCTTCGGCCCAGTTGGTGTTACTGGGGGACTTTAACGCTCATCATCAGGAGTGGTTATTCCCATACCAGTGCACCGACCATGCTGGAAGGGAAATGCGTAAGCTTGCGCTTTCGCTTGGCCTGACCCAGCTGGTCCAGGAAGCCACAAGGGTGCCCGATGTCGATACGCACACTGCCAATTGCTTAGACCTTCTGCTGACAACTGATCCAGACCGCTACTCGGTGACAGTCTCATCACCTCTAGGTAGCTCTGACCACTGTCTGGTGAAATCTGTATCGACACACTCCCCACCAGATCCGAGTCCCAGAGGACCTCGGCGGATGTGGCGATACAAGTCAGCGGACTGGGATGGGATGCGATCTTTTTTCGCTTCCTATCCTTGGCGGCCTGTCTGCTTCTCTTCTGATGACCCGTCAGCTTGTGCGGAAGCCGTAATGGGGGTGCTGCGCCAGGGCATGGAATACTACATTCCATTCTCGGACGTGGCATCCTCTGGTGGGACCCGTCCTTGGTTCGATGCCGACTGCGGACGTGCCGAAGCGCAAAAGCAGGCGGCATACTTGGCATGGGCGGATGCCAGGCGCCGTAGGGCTGATGACATTCATCAAAAGAAGAGAGCCTTTAATCGGGCTGCCAAGTCATGCAAAAAGGCATTACGGATGGCTCGATTTAACCACATTGGCCGTATAGGGAACAAACTAGCTTCCTACCCAGCGGGAAGTAAAGCTTTTGGTCCCTGGCCAAGGCAGGTTGAATCGAACTTCTGTCGCTCCTCACTTCCTCCGCTCCTGAGGTCTGACGGACGCTGGCTCACACTGCGGTAGAGAAAGCGAATCTATTGCTTCTCTATTTGCGGAGTCTTCGCGTCTTGACACTGGTGGCGCCTTGCCTCCTTCTGTTAATAGCGTATGCAAGACGAATATGTCGCAAATTCGCATTCGACAGAGGGAGGTATATAGGACGCTACGCGATCTGGACGTGAACAAGGCCAGTGGTCCCGACGGAATCCCAGCCCTGGTTTTAAAAACCTGTGCGCCTGAGTTGTCTCCAATCTTGACACGTCTGTTTCGCCTTTCCTTAGAGACGGGTCTAGTACCGGTTGCATGGAAGCTGGCCAACGTACAGCCTGTGCCTAAAAAAGGTAGTCGTGCCGACCCTAACAATTACCGCCCTATTTCGGTCACGTCCATACTCTGCAAGAGCATGGAACGTGTTCTTAACAATAGACTCCTGGCATACCTTGAAGGTAACGATCTCCTCAGCGATCGGCAATACGGGTTTCGACGTAACCGATCGACTGGGGACCTTCTTGCGTATGCCACTCACATATGGAGCGAGGCCATAGAGGGGCACGGAGAGGCACTAGCAGTCTCCCTCGATATTTCGAAGGCCTTTGACAGGGTATGGCACGACAGTCTAATCGGCAAGCTTCCTGCATATGGACTTCCTACTGGTCTGTGCATATGGATAGCAGACTTTCTGAGGGATCGGTCAATACGAGTAGTCATCGATGGCTGCTCGTCTGACCAATTCGGTATTAATGCCGGCGTCCCTCAGGGGTCAGTACTTTCAGCGACGCTCTTTTTGCTGCACATAAACGACCTGCTTAAGCCCGGTATCTTTGGGTATGCAGATGACAGCACAGTTGTTGAAAGGTATGTGTCCGGTGCGCGGACTAGCGGAACACAGATCCAGTCTTTAAGAGAATCCATGGTCGAACGTTTGAACTCAACCTTGAAGGCGGTGTCCGACTGGGGTGACGCCAACTTGGTTGGGTTCAATGCTAGCAAGACCCAGGCGTGTCTATTCTCCGCCAAACGGAGTCAATTTCCGCTGACTCCTACTTTCCGGAATGTATCCGTACCGATAACCGATCGTCTTGAGCTTCTTGGTGTAACTCTGACGCCCACGCTCAACTTTGGCTCCTATATAGAGTCAAAAGCGCAACTGGCTGGTAGGAAGTTGGGTGTCCTATGGAGGGTGAGACGGTACTTCACACCGAGACAATTGCTGAGCCTGTACCAAGCACAGGTTCGGTCCTGTATGGAGTACTGCTCTCATCTTTGGGACGGCTCGGCTAAATATTAGCTGGACGCGTTAGAGTACATTGAGAGGCGTGCCAGGAGGCTCATCGACGATGATGCGCTTGTGAAGGCTCGGCTTCAAAGCCTCGAACACAGGCGTAAGGTTGTAAGCCTTTCGGTTTTCTACCGGATACATTTCGGGGAGTGTGCAGGGGAATTGCACAACTTGATTCCCCCTAGTCCTTTCCATCACCGTACCACAAGACAATCCGCGAAGCGTCACCGATTCATGGTAGATGTTCCGCCCACACGCACGAAGCGCTTCGCTTCAAGCTTCCTTGTGCGTACTGCTAAAGAGTGGAATTCTTTGCCAGAGTCTGTATTTCCTGAAGGGTATAACCTGGGAGTCTTGCCCGAGTGAATAGGTTGCTTATGGGACGACGTGCTCCAACGTAGACCGCATCATCGCTTACCATCAGGTGAGATAGTGGTCAAACGTCGCCCCATCAATTATAAAAAAAAAAAGTGGGTGTTACATTGCACAGTGGCATTTAGTGCCGCAATGTGCACCTCTGCCTACCCCTTCGAGGATAAAAAGGCGTGATGTTATGTCATGTTATGCTTAAGCAAATTCACCCCGAAAATTTGTGATTCGCATGACGTCACTTCTATGTACCTACATTTTATACGTAGAAATGACGATTTGCCCCCACTCCTAAACTTTGATTCGTTATATCTAAGTATCATTCTATTATACAACAAAATAAAAAAACACATGTCTAATATTTTTTCATTACCTAACTGACGGACTAATCACATTTTTAATTTTCATACCCTGTCATCATTCCTATTATCTGAAGGTAGTAAATATAAATAATATTGGGTATGCATGTAAAGTTATTACGATGTTACTCATATCATATACTATCTGGGTTGCACATTATCTAAATTTCGCGTGTCCACCGTCATACATAATCTCATGCGCCTTGCCATTTATGACCACCAGATTATTGTTTGGAGAAATACCTTGGTTAAAATGCAATCATAAAACTTAATCCTTTTTATTTGGTTATCAACAAAAAAGAAAGAAAACGATAACCTTTTGTTGATAAAAGTAAAAAAATATGAAATTTTGCAGTGTTATGCTGACTGAGGCGTCGTTTTGTAGGTCATATTTGAGACCATTCAAAAGGGTATTTAAACGGACATGACTCATTTCGAACATAATAAAAGTAATTTCACAATGATTTTAATCTTTAATACTCTTTAATACACAAACGAAATAATATAGTTCTATTTACTTAACAGGATTTTAATATGTCCCTCCTGACCTTTTGCCCAAATACTTTTTGGGGTCAAGTTTAAGTTCAGTAAAATAAATCATATTAATCAGATATTATAGTCATACTTGTTTCTTACACTTTTAATATTTTTCCACAACGAGACATGCTGATAATTGGCATCAAATCTTAACCAGATTAGGTCGAATGTCAGTTACGTGGAATGCCTGTCATCGGCCGGCGCAAATCAAATCGGTTAAACGGGATTTGCATGCGCTTCATTATAGATTTTATAGTTAGTACACTGTTTACTGTACATGTTCAAACTAGCTTGCAATTAAATGCTAGTCGAACAATTGGACAGGAAAGTCAATATAATATAGGTATGTATGAAATTGACACCAACATTCGACGATTGTTATTGAACATGATTCATTATGAGGATCTTAGAACTATTTTTGTCAAATGTTGGTTAATTTTAAGTATGTACAACATTTTTTTTGGTATAGATTCTACAATAAGATCCGATATATCAACTCATTTTTGAAATTAACTCGTCGAGTACCGGTTTTATAGACACAATTAAAGAACAATAGGTCGCGGTCACCGGTGACCGCTTGGTGTTTGATAGTTTAATAAGGATAAAGATTGAAGAAGAAGAAGAAAATGACACAAAAATGAAAAGTTCAAAACATAAATGTAATCGAACATTTAAGTAAACAAATAATAATAAGTAATTAATGACAAAAATAAATCAGATATAATGAAAGTACTAAAATAAATTATTATTAATCATTGTTTTTCGTCTACTGGTTATTCATGAGTCGGCTAAGAACTTCTTTCAATTCTAGAGAGAATTGTGACACGGGAAGGGCTAGTTCTTGATTAGATGCAGCTAGGGTACCTTTATCCTTCATTACGAAGTCTGAAGGTACCACGAATGGAGTCTTCTTGTCTCCTGCAACAGATCCAATGTCCTTCAAGAATGGAGGCATTGGGAGCTGTGGGTGTTTCATTAGCCAGTGCTGGAACGCTTTCGTTGACCTGTGAAAAAATATATCTTATCTATACATATAATGAAATCGTAGAAAAGTCAAAACTGTACATTAAATATTTTTTAAAAATAATGCTTAGACCGTGATGTACAGTTGATACCGAAGCCAAAAATATGGTTTTTAGAATTTTTATCCGTGCTAAACTCAAAAAGTACTGAATGGCTTTATTTCAAATTTAGCATAAATATTACTAGCAGCTGGAGTTAACATGTTTATTATCACGCTGTCTAGTGCCAGTGGAATAGTTTCCACGCGGACGAAGTCACGGGAACAGCTAGTAGGAAATAAGTATCCACTACTGGGTAATAAATATCTGCTACATAAGAAGGATTTGCCATATTTGGTTTGGTTGAGAAGGCAATTTAAAATAGTTTTCCGTTATAAGCAAGCATTGCTGTCCGATCTCTGTCCAACGAATAGACTTTCAATCGCCTCTATAACAGCCTTGGGAAGCATAGGGGTAATGACAAATGTATTTTCTTCATGCTATGTCGGAAGTCACTGCACGACACAATCAAGAACACGTATTTATCTATACTAATAATACTAAAAAAACTCACGTAAGATGCTGTATATCCTCCCAGACGCAAGACATGGTCCTCAGATCCTCAGGGATTATGACTCCACGCCACATCTTTCTAGTATTGTTCTGAGGCGGCAAGTGTTTCAGTTTATGAGGCAAACTTTTCCCAAACGCCATCGTGTGTGCTGGACTGGTCTCCGCTTTTATATCGTCCGCTATTTGGCGTTTCAACGCTTTTAGACAACACGCCTGTTAACACGAATGTAGGTACATACAAACACATTTTAATCCCGTAGGTATTGTACGCATTAAATGCATGCAACAGATTACACCCAATTATTTTTACCGGTTAATAGTTTCAAGAATAGTGAGTCAAGCCTACTTGTTCACAGACAATTTATTGCACTCCTAATCATCATCAACAGCCTATAAATGCCCACTGCTGAGCAAAGCCTCTTCGCACACGGAGAAGGTTTGAGCATTAATCACCACGCTTGCTCAATGTGGGTTGGCGATTACAAACTTATAGTTAATTAGAAATTATAAACCCAGGTTTCCTCACGATGTTTTCCTTCACCGTTTGTCAGCGGTGTCTAATAATCTTAGAAACTACATATAACTCAGAAAAAGTCACATTGATACTTGCTGTTAGTTTTTGTAGGTATTTATTGCACTACTTATGGAAAATTTCAAAATGAAAGTCCCAATAACACTTTGAGCAGGCACATAATATGGCCTTCACTTTGTTACGATGTCGATGGTTCAGAAAAAAAGACGAAATATACTATCGTTATGTTTTAAAACTTTTCTTATAAAACACCAAATCTATTTATAATAATTACTTTTCCATTATGTTAAAAGTATAAAAACTGTTACCCTTTGTACTCCAGTGCTGGTAGCAATGGACCTCAGCACACACGGCATTATCTGGGGATTCAGGACAAGCCCTCGTGAGGCATGCTGGTCGAACCATACCTGGAAAATGAGAAACACTTTAAACTGTACCTTACATCCATACACTTAAGGTACTTTATGGCAGTAAGATTTCATTATTTGATGTATGTACATTATTTTGTGTTCAAAGTGATTTATCTATTTTGAATACGGAAAGAAACTGTTTAATGGTACGGTTTAGGTCTGTGATGTATTGAATTGATCACAAGAAGATTTATTTTGCAAATTAAATATTATATAGTGTAGGATATATTGTAAACTCCTTCCGCGCGGTTTCACACGCTCTGCTCAGCTCGTATTGGTCGTAGCGTGATGTTTTATAGCCTATAGCCATTCTCGATAAATGCGCTATCCAACACAAAAAGAATTATTCAAATCAAACTTGTAGTTACGGAGATTAGCGCGTTTAAACAAACAAACAAAAAAACAAACTCTTCCGCTTTATATACCTCTAATAGTATAGTATAAGATGATTACATCATTAAATTACGCACTGATGATCGCCACTAAAAACCATTTCAAACTAAGAACTGTAATTATGTAAAAATGGCGCAGAAAACATTTGTGTTTTCATTATGATTTTTTAATGATATTTTCCCGCACTTACCTGACGTTCATCATCACATACTTTCTTTTAAATAATTGTTACACCGCAATAATATCTCTTAGTAAGCAAGAAATATACCTGGAATAATGCTTCTATGTCCTCTGGTCTCTTGATTTCACTCTTGAATTCAACATTACCCAAACTGACCCACCAGTCAAAGAATTCGTTGGAAATCTGTAATTGAATATGTTTTAGACATTATTTGCTATCCATCGTCTATAGGTTTTGCCAATACACGGGTGAGGAAATCTATTGATAATAAAAATTCGGATGATGACGGGATGTGCAAATTACAAATCTAATTAGTCCGTAAGTTAGGTAATGAAAAAATATTAGACACGTATTTTTTTATTTTGTTGTATATTAAAATAATACTTAGATAAAACGAATCAAAGTTTAGAAGTGGGGGCTAAAACGTCATTCCTACGTATAAAATGTACATAGAAGTGACTTCACGTGACATTTCAAATCAATATATAGTCGAAAGTATTCGTTTCTGTAAGAAAATACAGAATACGTGTCTAATGATTTAAAATAATCTACCAGACGGACATTAAAATAAAAATTAGGCATCTACCCTATTATATGCAGTGACTCTATTGCCGAAATACTGAAACGTTACTCAATTTTAAGTCGTGCTCAAATATCGTGCCATCTCTGTCATTTTACAAATAATTTGTAGAGACAGAACTATACTTAAGCACGAATTAAAATTGAGTAGCGTTTCAGTATTCCAACATTTGACTCATAAATAAGATCGAAGATGCAAGCATTTAGGTTAATGAACTATTATCCTCTACAACTTACGACAGCCATTCTAAATGTAGCTAAATGCATTAGCAAATTTTATACTGCCGCAAATTCAGCTTTTCTATAGGTAATTTAATAAGTAAAGTCAATAAATGATTATCAATGATGACGATCACATGGTAGACAGCATTTTAACGTTGTGAAGTCCGATGTCAGAATTCAGGCTATGGAACTTTAACTAGAATGTGCTCGTATTAAAGAATCACCTTTTTAGCCAATATTTCCGCTCTCTTGCTAAATTCATCAGAGGCTGAAACTTCAAAAGTCTTTTGCTTATATTTAGACTTCCATTTAATCATGTCTGTTTCTGATTCAGTGCAGTAAAGCATATCAAAATATGGATTCGGACCTCTTCGGTGATGATGGTACCTAAAGATAAATAAAATGGCAGATTTGGAGTACGGATAAGAACCAATCTTTATCTTTTCAGTTGTCCTCCTTCTAATTATATTTCATGGTGACAGACTGTCTTCTAAGTTGGCTGCCATTTTTACTACATGACTCCATTGTTGTGCTGTATATTATAATTCCTACCTTATAGTAGGTATTATATAGCTCTATCTTTATCAGTTCTTCTACCATATAAACCAAATTGTTTCCAGTGAAGTTTTAGGACGGGTAACACTAATTTTAGTAAGAAAGGGAATGAACATAATTTACTAAGAAAGAGTTTTTAAGATTACATTGAATAATACACGCAGATTTTTTATTTTAGAAATCCTGAGCATGGATTCGAGTCTTTAAATTTCTTAATTAATTTTCTTAAGAAAAAAAATGATGCAGTGTAGGGTTACCAGTGTTCAGTTTGATATCGAATGTTTTAAAATTACTGTTAAGAAAATCACATTACATTTCCTCTATAGCTGACCCTGGTCGTACGTTCAGGTCGTCATCGGTGGCTGCGAGTGAGTCTGGTAGCGTATAGGCTGACACTCTCTCACTCAATTTGTCACTGACAGGTTTCGCCATTACCTTTGACATGAATCTGGAAAAAGATTTTGACAGCATTTTGGAAAGTGATTTAGAAACGTGTATTGTTTTGCTTGTTTGCATTGTCCTTTTTTCATCGCTGTGATCAACTGTACTCTCGGTCCAGTCTGATTCTTCTACGGGTTGTGCTGCCTCTTCTTCTTCTTCAACTAAAGGCTCGCCCTCACCCAGAATAGATACGCCAGCTTTCCACGCCATCTGAAAGCAAACGTCGGCAAACAGTATGCGGTATGGGACTTACTGGAATTTAGGAAGTTAGTATTTGTGAAAATGATTTCGTGCAGGTCTGTATTGCTGAAAAAATGTGTCCTATTACTTACAAAGGAGTAAATTTCTATCCGCAATCCTCCTGTACTGTGACTTGTTGCGATTAAATGGTAATAAGGTGGTGATCTCATACGAGATCATCACACGAATAAATAATCATGAAAATTTTGGATTTCTCTAAATTTGTTACTTACTTTTTTAACATAAAAATCTTCGGACTTCGATGGAGCTACAAATTGATCTTTTGGCTGGTATTGTGAGGTTTCTTCGGGTAGGTCGAAAATTTTGGCAATGCGTTGAAATATAACTGGGCCCACCAATTCACGTACAGTATCACAATTTGTTTCCCAAAACTAAAAATAATTATATATTCTGTAATGTTAGACTAGGGAAATTATCCCAAAAGGTTTTTATTTTCTTTTATATAAATCACTACACTACACTAAGTAGGTACGTAAATGAGACATGAACATGCAAACCATTTACACTGCCTACCCTTCTCTGTATAAACATCAGAAACAACTTTACTCAGAGTTATATTAAAGGCTTAATGCCTATAAGAAGTACATAGTGAGATTTTTGTAACCCATTGACTTTATAGCATTAAGATCAGCCCCTAATACATAAACCTCGAAACATAACTGTGCTAGTGGGTGGGTGTCACATCAAATACGCGTACCTTTACTTTGCCCTTTGGGGATTAGTAGCCGTTAAGCCGGCAATTGTCTTTTTATTTTTTTTAAACCACGACGGTGGCAGAAAACCTCACGGCCCACCTGATGGTAAGCGGTTACCGTGGCCTTTGTACGCTTGCAACACTTGGGGCATTACATGCGTCTTGCTGACCCTTGAAGAACCTATTTACTCCCTTTTTAATGAAACCCATGTTGTAACTTACTAGAAAAACCACGGCAGGGAGTTCATTCCACAATCGGAGGGTCAGCGTGAGGAAATTTCTCTGAAACCGAACTGTGTGGGACCATTTGGTGCACTACTTAATTGTGGAAGATGCCATTATTCATATTAAGTATCACCTATGTTAAGAAAGCCAAAGAGGTATGTAAGAATGGCAATTGGCGTCTTTGCCGATAGGAGGTATCCATGGGAGATTGGCGTAAGGTTATGTAGGTAGGTACGTATGCATGAATGTAGGTATCACCTGTTCATCTTTGTAGGACATCTCCAATTCTTTGATAACATTTTGCCAATGGACCTTGACGCTATCCAAAGTCTGTTCGTACCGTGACGGAGTAATCATCCTTATGCGCTTTGGTTTGTCCCAATTTTTGACCAGTGGTCGTTTCCCACAAGGCATGGTAAATTAATTTTCAATTTTCCTACTCAAATAAAATTACTAAAAGGAAATTGAATGACATGGGATACAAAAACATAAAATACGTATTCAAGGAGTAAAATATAAAAATCTTCTTTTATTTCAATGTCAACAAGATCATTCTAGGAATAGGAACTTATTTTTTTATTATGTAGATCTATATAGTAGTTCTTGTTTGAACTAATGTAACAGAATATTTCACATTCATCTAATAAATAAATTAATTAAATACAATAAATAACAAATATAAAAAACCAAACCAAGTAATTATTATAAAATAAACATCGGGTCAACGCCATCTAGCGTATTTTTTAAAAAGCACGAAGTCAACAGATGAACGAGTGTGCGTGAAAATCGAGGGCGGAAAATGCGCGATAACAAAGTGAGTCAGTGACACTGAAAACACAAACAGTTTGATATGTACAACATAGATGGCGTTACATGTATCATTAAGATAACTTAACACTATACAATTTGAACAAGTTTTAATAAATAAAGCGAATCCTGAACCAATATATTTAACAAGTACGAAATAGTTTTTTTTATTCATTTCGTTTTTCCTAAGCGTTCAGCGTCTTCAATAGTATCGGGTACTTTTTGACCGCGAGTTTCAGGTTGCGTGAGGACTAGAATAGCAGATAAGAATGCTGTACCAGCGAACATAACTGAAGGTATACCAGACCAATAAATCATCAAGGCGGGAGTTAACGGTGCAACAATAGATCCAATGCGACCCAACATTGAAGAAAAACCTAAGAACGAGTGTCTGTACCTTGTAGGATATAGTTCAGCTGTGTAAAGGTACAAAGACGTCATAACCAGACCTATACAGTATTTTCCTATCAAATATAAGATCAAAGACAAAGTGTACATACTTTTAGGAACAAAAGCAAAAGCTAAACAGCAAATTGCACAGATCATGAAACCACAGAACAATGTTGGTCTTCTGCCTACTCTATCTAATACTAAGACGGCTGTCCAGTAGCCGGGGATCTCGATCGCAGCAGTCGCAATATAATTTAAATACATGTTCCCCGTTAGATTAACAGAATTGATCGACAGCCCATAGTAAATGAACACCGTGGTCATCCACATGATGGGCGTCGTACAACATCTCCGCAGTATTATGGGGGACTTGATTACTCTATAGAACAGATTCTCCTGGTTTACCTCTTTATTTTCTTCAATCTGGTTTTGAATAGCAGTCAGTAGAAAGTTCATGTTTTTGTCAGAAATCTGTTTTTTATTCAATCGAGCTGCATATTCTAAAGTGGCCTTTCCTTCTTCTTGCTTATTCTTGCTAAGTAACCAACGGAAACTTTCTGATAATATCCAGTAGTACGATATTATGAGAAATACTGGGATATATAGGACCAGTGTGAGAGTTTTCCATGCAGGAATGGCGAAAGCTAATAAGCCTAAAACAACTTGGCCGAGGGCAAACATGCTAGAAATAGTAGCGCTCGTTCTTACGCGGTACCCGGGGCCCACTATCTCAGCAGCCAGAATGTAGGCGGCACTGAACGCGCCTCCACCAATCGCAGTTTGCATGAATTGCAGCGCTGTGTACATCGCGAAATTCACAGAAAACGCGCGAATTACTCCCACTAAAGCAATATTAAACGAAAAGAAAACTATAGACATCCGGCGTCCAAGACGGTCTGAAATGAAGCCAGCCAGCACCAGCGCCACCATTCCTCCAGCACTGTTCAGTGTGCCTGGCAACGCGCGCAGCCATTCTTGACATTCAATGTTGAAATCATACACGATAGTGTTCGTCCTGTCGTAGACATATGCGTCACATGGTACGATTATATCTCTGTCGAATAAGGCGGCTGGACAAAGTTCATCCGATGATATCACATCGCTGCTGACGTTTGCGAAACGACGACAGTTATCAAAACCGGATTCTGTTGCGGGTACCGCGTTTAATATCCACCGCGGTGAGTATTCTGGGTTTGGGTCGTCACATTCTGGCACCGCACACCGGGTGGGTAGGCTGCCCGCGGTGAATATGTAGTCTCCCGCCATGAACGCACAAACCAGTGATGGGAAAGCCAGTAGAGCTATGGTCAGTAGCTGATACTTCCCGAAGTGTCCCACTTCACGATACAACACCGAATCGAACTCCGAGTACGGCTCACGTTCACTGGCTTCTTTCTCCATATTGACAGATTACTGGTGCATATAAAAAAATTCGTCAATATGGTAATCTTAGACACCTTACTGTTTTATATAAGGTGTGATATGATCGTTATCATAGGCGCAAATAAACGTTATCTGCTATCTAGCAATGAGTACGGTTAGACAAGAGAATTAATATCGCACACGGCACAATGTAATTTTTTCATTTATCTCGTTGTAATTACTTTGTATTAACGAGGCGTTATCGTATGTACCTACACTCGCGTGGTTTCAGGAACTGTTCTTGCGAGACTGCCAATGCATAAACACTGGCATCTTGCCCACGATTCGAACTCACAGGAATTTCTTTCATAGGTGACGTCTTCAGTCTATAGTAGACCGAGTAGTTATAGAGATTTCACTACAAGTGGGTGACCTTGTACATACATAATTGTAGGTAGAGATATAATTAGCATATTATATACATACGTCCTTAAGATTATGCTGTAGGTAATTACTCATACCTTATCATTACTGATAAAATGTACCGTGCGGTACTTAATTGTTTTGTTTATTTATTTTATTCTCTAAAGCTTTACTGTTTCAGCCTACACTAATATTTATTTTTGTACCAACTGCGTTTAAAATGTGTTTGCAAATATGTCTATACAGACGCCTGTAGATGAAGTAACTCCAGTCTGTGAAATTTCTTCAATAGATTTTCAACCTTATGCTTTTCAATTATAGTCGAAAATGGATTGTATAAAAATTTACAGAATGGAGAAGTTTGATGTCCCGTTATCTGTACAAAATTGAACAAGCAAAATATGTTCTTTGGGATATTGAAATATATAGAAAAAATGCAAATATTGTAAGGACAGTCATAGATTTATTTTTAGCAACAGAACAAATTAATGTAGATAACAATTTTCTAATAAATTTCCTATCACCTGTAGCGATAGCTTCAGCTAGTTCGCCTAATATAATTAATACCGATCGATAGATATCATGAAGTAGTTGTAAAACATAGTGATGTGATAAGAATCAATATATTCCTGCGTATCGATTTTAATCTCTCTATTCGGATTCAATCGAATCTGAAACTCGTGTTCGGATATTTTCTATGGGTTCTGGTGGCTCATGTGGAGATCCCATGGGTGGTGTGATCTGGTACTCCGATTCGAAAGTGAGCCTTGCGTCTAGTACTGCAGGGTCGAAAAGACCAAGGCTTGTCAAGTATGGTGGTCGACGATGTTCTGGGTGATGGATCATCCAACGACAATACTCCTTCACACTCCTGAAATAAAAATATGATCTTTTAAAATTAAAAAAAATCTAATTGTTACTTGCAAATAAATATGAGTTTTAGTATAAAGTTAGTTTCCTACTTAATTGTCGTCTATTGGTCTTCCATATTTTTAATTGTCAGTCTAGAAGAAAACCTTTTTTTTTGTATCAAGTGGGAAACGATTGTGAAATTCGTTTCAGTGACGACGTTGTAGGCCATGAAAAAGAGAAATCTCTGATAGGATATTACAACATCTTCGTTCGACACGCTGATAATAATGATAACAATTACCTAAGGACTTGTGTCGGTAGTCGAATGGTAGCAAGATACTACCAAGTTTTACCGACGCGACCGTGGGTGCCAGACTATTTATAATTGTAATTTTCTCATTCTGAGAGATTCATTGGGTGCATTGTTAAGGAACAAGGTGCTAGGGGATCGACACGTTACACTTCAGGTTGTTGGTAGTCTAACAACAACCATAAAGTCAAAGTAACTTGTATGCTAGGCTACATAACGACCTATACAAAACCAGTTTATCATGTCAAATCATCACGCCTTTTATCCCCGAAGGGGTAGGGAGAGGTGCACATTACGGCACTTAATGCCACTGTACAAAATAACACGCATTTTTCACTATTTTGTTTTGAGTCCCATGTAATATAGGTTATCCTCTATTACATGGGACTAGGGAAGCCTATTTGGCAATAGGCTTCCCTAGTCCCATGTAATATATCGGACACATTTCCATACTCTGTGCTATTACTGAGATTTTTTTTATAAAAACCCAATAACATTTTGCCCGACACGGGAATCGAACCTGAGACCCCTTGCACGGCAGTCACAATTGCGACCACTCGGCCAATGACTATCATGTTCTCGCTTCTATCTCTATATTTCCATATATTCGACGAAGTTTATACTGGTTTTACATGGCAAATGTAGGCGTGTGTAATAATAAAATGCGTCATAACATATTATATCTATCATTACCTAAGATTGGTAATTCCTTCCCAAACAGTTTTAAGTGTGACGAGTTCTTTGGGCACATGTCGGGTTGATCTCCATTGTTTCTTGGTGTTGTTCTGTGGCGGATGGTACTGCGTGGGCATCGGCAGGCTCTGGGTAAATGCCTTGAGGTTTGGAGTACGATGTTCAGCTTTGATGTCCTTCGTGATCTCACGATTCAATGTCGCGTAACGGGATAACTGTTGGGTTAAATGAGAATTTAAGTATTTTTGTCAAATAATCCTGTTATATTTTTAAAATAAATAAAGTGGAAATCTTGTGAAACTTTAATTGACACGACTTAATGCCGATGTCGGTTGTGTGTCAAGATTGAATTTGGACATAAACTCCATACAAATAATTTAAAAAATCAATGAATGTTCACAGAATTTGGATATGACCGGTTATTCTGTCATTTGTCATCTAAAGTATTGAAATTAAATTGTCATTTAAAGTATTGATAATAAAAATAAACGGTAATAAAAACTATAATTTTTTTATGTGGACATAATTTGACGTTGTGTCACCCTCAAATAATATTATATAGTTTATAACTAAAAATTAGAAATTTACATACGCCACTTAAACAACAAACCACTGTTTGTATAAGTGACTGCGACAGGCGACTCAGTCAATGCATTATTGGGTTTTGTCGCGTTTTCAAAACATGTACAAAATATTACCGTAGGATTTCCCGTAACGTTGGCGATTTTATCTTCGACACACGGCAGTTCTTTGGGCACCACGCTCAGACTCTGCGCTACGTGAGTGTCAAATTCTATCTGGAAGAACAAAGGTTTTATATTGCAGAATTATTTAAAAAAAATAACTCGTGGGCATACGCGCGAATACTACCCAATTTTAAGTTGTACTTAAATATCGTGCCATCTCTGTCATTTTACAAAGAATTTGTAGTGACAGAACTATACTTAAGCGCGACTTAAATTTTAGTGGCGTTTGAGTATTTGGACAATACAATTATAAGTTACTAACGTTACTTATTCAATGCTAGCAGCGAGTGTGCTGACAATACATTTTTATCCTACTCATAATATGTATAAATGTGAAAGTTTGTGAAAATCTACGAAAGTACGTATAGTGCTCTTTCACGCAAAAAACTACAGTTTAGGTAGTAATAAGTCAAATATTAAAATTAAAATATTCCAAGTATTAAATATAAACGATCGAAATAAATTTGCAACACGGCTGTATTTTCGACTGGCGTATCAGTTGATACTCGCTGCTCACTCGCTGTGCTGTCGAGCAACTGCACGCAGCAACTGGCTGCTACGCTACGCGTTGCAGATTCGATTCATGCACGTAACGCCATATTATTCAGGGTTTTGCCTTAGTGTGATATGAGAGTTTGTATGTTTATAAACGCACCAGCGACACAGGACTGAAAAAAATATAGTCTGAAACTACGTTTAAAAAGTACAGTAAGTACCTACATTTATTCGTTTTAATTCCAGTCTTTATGAAGCAACTTATATATTTTCTCAATAAAATAAGCCTATATTTAATACAAAGCGTTAACTAGTAGTCACTAAAATTATTGGTTAATTAATAAATTAATAATGACTTACTTGAAACAATTCCTTGATAGCCTTAGGTGTAAATAGCTTCGACTGCTGATCCCCTCCCAGTTGTTTCATGTATTCACAGAATTCATTGGCAATCTAAATACAAACAGTTAAGTTTAACCAAACGTGGGCTACATCTTTACAGATATAAGACAATATATTGTCGTCACATCACATAACTCTGTACTAATACTGAAGTATTTTTGAAGAACTGAAAATACGCAAATGTCACTTTGCGCTAACCAGGAGTCGAATCTGAAATCATTGGCTCAGTTGTTTTACTTGCAACCACTCAACCAACAAGACAGTCGTTTTACTAGCTTTTATTTCAAACTTGCATAAAGTCAGTAACAAGCTAACGCAAGTACAAAGTTCTAATGACATTACCATTAGTTTGTGATGCTTCCCTTTTGTTCTATTTCCAAACTTTACTATAAAGAACTAGCTATGCGCAGCCGGCGTGTCAACGAACACGCCAAAAATGTGTGCATGTGATTATGGGCCCCGACATATCTTGAAACTAGTTGAGCTACCTAAACGAACTATTGCGTTAGTAAGCCTTACAGCTTGATTAATGTCTGTGAACATATTCTTACTTTTAATTTTATTTTTTTCTGTCTCGAGATGGTCTCTAAGGCACAAATTAACTTCATCTCCAATCACCTCAATCCCTGAATCCCTAACAATCCTCAAACTCCTAATTGATAAAAAGCCGATAACGCACTTGTAACGCCTGGTGTTTCGAATATCCATAGGCGGCACCGATTGCTTAACATCAGGTGATCCGTCTGCTCGTTTACCGGCTTATACCATAAAAATTATACAAAATCCTATAAATAAATAAATAAACAAAAACTTACTCTATCAGTAAGATCATCAGCCTTCTTGACCAAGCTCTTCTCATCTTCCTTCTCAGGCTGTAAGTACCGGGTCGGCCATGTTATTTGTTCCCGAACTGGTTTATTTAACATGTCCAGATAAATATTCGGCTTCTCTTCTTCATCGTCACTGAAAACATATATTATATTATTTAAAAACAAATCAGTTTTTAGCAAAGATTATACAAATATACACGTTTATGTCAAAACATCTGTTATGTAGAGTTGCACATATTAATTGCAACACAATTTTTTTACAACTTATGACTCACATGCAATTCCAGACACAGTATCTGAGAAAGTTTTGGAATTAAAATAACTCAAGTAATATTATGCCCTAATCGACTTTGAAATACCTCATTCGACTAAAGTGACAATCGTACAAATCATACAGTAACGTTAATTTAAAGGCTTATTCCTTTAACTTAATGAAAATAGAAAATCTTTTTTGAGGTAACATGTATCAACCGTGCACATACCTGGGGCAAAACTCCACGTCGGTGTCGGAATCCAACTCCCTGTTCACATACAGGCATTTCCTAGTAGATATTTGTGGTTCTTTCACTGTACGCCGAGGTAGATTTACTGAAACACAAACAATAATATATATGTATCTACAAAAAAGCACTTTTTTAAAGGTAGAAAAATAGCTGTTAATGATATTTATAATTATTAGTATTATTATATAACATAACTAAGTTGCCGACCGATCGTCGGCAATTCTGCAACATATCTAGCTCTACTAGTTTCGAACCACAGAGGGGTTCTTCCTCATGAGCAGCGTGCGCGGTCGCGGCGATGTCGCGCGGCCTACCTCTCTACCCCTCTGTGGTTCGAAACTAGTAGAGCTTTTCTCAGTATATTCACGTGAGTAACGATTTTTAAATAATAATAATGATTTTTTTCAAACAAATTATATGTTTGTAATAACACAGGAGACAAACTAGTAGCAGGGTAAGGTTTAGAGCAGTAATTAAATAAATAGATACCTTTAAATCCTTCAGGCTTTGGTTCCTCAATTTCAGTCCTTGGAAGATTTAGAGACGCACAGACTTTCTTATATAATTCCTTTGGCAGCACTTCTGCTAATATTTTGCTTTCGCTTTCCTAGAAATAGAAAAGATTTTAATTTTACAAATATAAAGTTTATAAAAAAAACACAACTAATAATAATATTTCTTAAATACAGTCGTTTACGAGTAACGGAGTTATAGCACATACACACTTTTCCACAACTCACAAGAAAATAAATAGAAAGGTATTTTTTTTTTTTTTTAAGGGGGGAAAATCATCGAATGACTGCTCCCGCCTGGGTGAGGCGGAAGGGAGTGTCAGACTCTTACTGACTAAAAACCACCCCGTTCCTTCTCCTGCACATCGAGCCGGAGCCCCGGTTACCCGTTAGGTTCTCCGCGACTCCGAATCGGCATCGGCCCTATTGGGCCCCATCTGTGGTGGTCTGATAGCTCTTTGAGGCGCGCGCGGAACGCGACGCGCCTTACGCTCGGGTCTGTTTCTGGTCGGACGGGGAGCCACCCATGCTCGCCGTCCGCAGGCCCGCGCTTACGGTGGCCGGAGATCGTCCCGCGATCCCCGACGCCCGGTGTGTCCTTCGCGATGGCTGGGTTGCGAGGAGGCAGCGCTTCGCTGCCTCACGCGTCCCGCCTCCTCCTTAGCTAGCATGACTGCTTCGCAAAAGGAGGAGACGGCATCCCAGTCCCCCTCGCTCCGCATCATGGCCTGCACTAGGCCCGGACGCGAGAGGTCGCCATCGCCGATCACTTCCCTGAGGGCACGGCGGTGCTCAGCCCACGCAGGGCATTCCGCTACGGTGTGTTCCACCGTGTCCTCAGGGCGGTCCTCGCAGTGATGACACCCGGGCGTTTCCTCCCGCCCCATCAGACACAGGTACCTCCCGAAACTTCCATGTCCGGTGAGGACCTGCGTCAGGCGGTAGGTGAGGACGCCGTAGCGTCTCTCAAGCCACTCCTCAAAGAGGGGTCTTACCGCTGCAATGGCAGCGAGCCCAAAATAGAAACGTATAGAATTATATTAAATAAATAAAAAATAATTCTCATTTGTTAGTCCCGCTAAAACTCGAGAACGGCTGAACCGATTTGGCTAATTTTGGTCTTGAAACCGTCGTCGTCATGGTCGTGAAAATCAAGGAAAGGGTAAAAAGGTGAGAAAAACCTTCATGTGATTAGGGGTTTACCGGGGCAGCATATTTTTAAAATAAAAAGAATATAAAAATTGTAACTCACGACAGTGTGTTGGTACGTATCCATTTTATGAAACACTTCATTCCAGTATTTCCTATTATTCCTCACATATTCAGATGAAGATAGACTTTCGTCTACTTTCATGAGTTTCCGTGGTTTTCTTCTCTCAGTACGAGCACTGTCCATTGCGAATAATTCAATTTATTATGGTTCGTTTGTCAATGCGACCACATAGATTTAATAAAATGCTGACGCGTTGTGCGCGCGGCGTCAAGTGATTTCGATGTTCGATGTTACCGGTAAATAAATGCAGAGTATTTTGTATAGACTTGTGTGTTGTATAGAGGGGGCATGGTTTCTGTAAGGCTGCGATGGATTTATTTAATGACGACGTTCAAAACTGCCTTCCTGGTCTAATTGAAATAAATGATTTTGACTTTGACTTTGTCCATTATGTTTTTATGTAAAACACATTGGTAATTATTGTGAATGCAACGTAGCATCTAACATGACATAACATAACATCACGCCTGTTATCCGAAGGGGTAGGCAGAGGTGCACATTACGGCACTTAATGCCACTGTGCAATGTAACACCTACTTTTCGCTATTTATGTTATGAGTCCCATGTAATAGGGAGTGAGCCTATTGCCATACAGCGGGCACAATTCCAACTACTAGGATTTTTTTTTAAAACCCAGTAGTATTTTGCCCGACCCGGGAATCGAACCCAAGACTCTTTGCCCAGCAGTCACGTTAGCGACCACTCGGCCAACAAGGCAGTCATCTATATCTATAAAGTTCTTAATATTAGAAAAGTAATATGTTTAGACGACAAATAAAGAAACATGTAACAGTATTGATTACTACCTCTATGTTATGGCATAAGCCGCTAAACGTGCAGACGGATTACCTGATGGTAAACAATTGGCGTCGCCCATGGACACCTGGAACACCAGAGGCGTTACAAGTGCGTTACCGGCCTGCTCTTTATATAATAATTATTAAAAAAAACCTTTCTTATAAATTCCGACAAATTCAATTAGTAGTAGAACATTATTCGATAATCAAATAAAAAAAAATGAATCTTTGTATACTATTGCTAGGTCTGTGGTGTGTTGACTCGTTTCCATAGGTGCAGCGTGGCTATGCTATTTACAACACGATTTCAACGATAACATCAGTTGCTAAAACAATAAACAGAAATGTATTTTAAAACAACAACAAACCGTACTTAAAAATTAAAAAAAAATCACAAACACATTTTCCACTACTCAACCCCATGGACGCACTTGCAATTAGATTTAAACAGAACTAAATTTAACTTTATTCAATATTTATATCAAAAGTTACCAATAGAAAGAACTTTTGAACACGTGGGCTGAAGTAATACGCGTGTGTAGAACGGATAGAGAAAAATAAACAAACATATATAACTCCTCCTGGTATATATTTCAACGTGTAAGATTTAGTAGTGCAGTGTCGTGAAGTTTGATCAATAGTTGCTACTTGCTCGCCCCCAGTCGCCCCTCGTTGCAAAGCTGCAATATCCCCGTGGCTCCGTGTAGAGGTTTCCCTAAACGAGGTGTATGATAATAAATTCAATACTCTATGCCACTTTTTTTTCGAATGTTGTTGGTATAAATTATTGTAATTGATGCGGTAAATATAACTGTGTTGTGTTGGGTATTTTTATTTTTTGTTATGTGTACAGTTCATATTGAAATATAGACTGTTATTGATTTTGTGGTAGCGCAAAATATACGATTTGGCCCTCGAACCACATAGACGTTTATTGGGTTATTCGATTTTAATGATTTTTTGTACTATTATGAATTTTTTGGTTAGCCGTAAAATCATTAGTTGCCGTATTAAGATAATTAAAATAAGCTAATAGTAGATGATGTCCATGTGGAGAGCAAAAAAGGTTTAGTTATGTTACGTAGACGTGGATTATTTCAGGAATTCAACGGAATCAATATAGACAGTGCTTAGATGCATAATGTATATCAGATGAATGTTACTGTTCTTCATTTATTAGATAAATGTAAATCAAATCATCATGAGACCTTTTTATTTCGACACGAAGACATTTACAAATCTCATTTGAGCTGAACATAATAACTTACGAAAGCGTTTTATCATTCGTTATCAACGTACTCACGTTTGTACGCCGCAACAGAACCAAAGTAAATTAACTCGAAAAGTAGTTTGTAAAATAGAAACGGAATCAAAAGATGAATGAACTCTTTACGTAGAAGTTGGTAAGTTTATTCAGTCGGTGCAGTTGTGTCAGATTTCACGGGAACTGGCGCTTAACACAATATTATGGAATGACAAAACGTCAACTTAGCATAACACTGTTTAACTTCGCCCGGCGATAGTAAAATTGGTATAAAAGTTACAGCACGAGTTACGATAACTAAGACTTTAGTACTTCTTCTGTTACTGTTGTATTTAAACTGCATTATTTCCTTATTATCTTCTTTCTTTGGAAACAAAAAAGCATTGTTACGTACAACGACTCTTATTTGTAGTCTTGACTCTTATTTGACTCTTAAATAAGAGTCAAATAAGAGTCAAATAAGATAAATATCTTATTTGTATATTTGCCTAACTTGTTGTATGTTTACTCATTTTTTTTATTTGGCAATTAAACCGGATTGCTCTGAATCATCCGTTTGAAAACGGAATAAATAGAGGTACTTTGAATATATTTTATGTTTTGTAAATGACTATAGATATTGATAATAATCTGTAAGAATATATTAGAATGATAAATGTAGGTATGTAAAGGTCAATAAAGAGTAAACGCATATGTCTTACTTCTTACGAAATTATCTGATTAACGAATCATATTCATTACTTCATGCAGTTCATAACCACTGGAGTAATAAAAATGTATCAATGAAATTATATAATACACCAAATTATAAATCAACCCGACACTCCTCAATGAATTATTGATCGCGTTCAAGTTCTTCACAAACTGAATTGCTATTCGCTTGTATCGATAAGTTTAAAGTGCGATGCTTTCTCTGTCGTATTGAAAATATGCACGTACCTACCTAGTTATAGGGTGCTCCTACACTACGGTTAACAATATTAACAAACATTTTCATACATGTACTTAATATACTTAAGTCAGAAGTTGTAACAGGAACGTTTTTTAAGTAACATTGACGGAAAATAAAAATTAAAGAAAATTATGTTAACAAGTGTTTATTAACATGACCTATGTAACTAACATGTTAACAACATTTAACATATGGATCAAATGTCTGTTAAAAATAATTAAGTATTAATGTTTGTTAACATTTTTAACTGGCAGTGTGGATGCACCACTAGCTATAGCTATATCGACGGTTGTCGTCAGACGATCCCAATGGTATTGTGATTGTGAATTCGTATTTATAGATAACACTGACAATAATCTAATAACAAACGTAATTATGATTGTTTTGTTCAAACCTGTTGTACTGTGATTGTGCTTTGATATAAAGACTTGCTTGTCAACGTTGCAAGCTTATGTTTAATTAACTGGACGCTTTGTTTCGTTATTTGTAAGGTTGTTTACTTTGGAAATGTATTTGATGAAAGTATTTTGTCTGAACTAATTTTGTAGAGAAGTAACTTTAATTTGTTGTTCAGTTGTACAAAAACTGAGTTTAAACAATTACATAGAAAAACTAGGAAGATATGTATATGTATTTTCATTAATAAAATAAATTTAATAAAAATATTTTAAGATAAAAGTAGTTCATAGAAATACCACTGAATAAACTTATGATAATAGTCGTCTACACGGCTAATTTCCAACTAAAACTTCACAAAAGCGGAATAAGCGAATGACGAATTGTTTAAGTCACTAAACTAATAAACAGCCAGGTACAAACTAATGATATTAACACCGCAGTAGGACTAAGACTCCAGCAAACCACACACTGACTTTATGCTCGCATAATACGGTTTTCATTTAATAAAACAATAATTAAATACGGCGACACGAGTAATGTTATGCTAAATGCGCGCCACGTTAGGAATGCGATGAGTCGCGTCGCCTCGCCTCGCCTCGTCTCGCGTCGTCACGCTGACGACTTAATAAGTTAACTTGTTACGGGACTTGTGTAAATTTACCTTAACACCCAATATACCCAAGCACACCCGTCCCTACATTATTCTTAGCTAACGATCTAATTTATATCATTGTCGAGTATATGTTTGTCACTCACACTGTTTTATTCTAATCTGTTTAAATTTTATTAATTGTGCCGTATCTAATATACGTGGAATAATTTTGTATCTTAAAATCTAGCATATCTATAAAACTAATATATTTAATGAGCAATAACGAATAACCACATATAAATTACGTTTAAACTGTAGTCCACTTGTTAACATTAATTAGTAACAGAAAAGTTTTATCTCTCCCTCTACCTCCGAAGCTTCGTAGAATAGTTAATTTATAGCAAAATGTTACGTATACTACATCCAAACTTTCTTCGTAAGCAGATACCGTATAGCAAACAAGAACAAATGAATAGAGTTTAATGAGTAACCGCAAGGATACATCTAGTAATTTGTGATCTCCGTCAGCAGTTTATACTCACACCTGGTTCAATTAGACCAACATATTGTGTCTATTGGTGTCTAGATATATGTACTAGCTTTATTGAACTATCAAACAGAACATCATTTAAGAAGTAATGGACAATTTATTCGAAGGAAAATTTAAAATAGGTAATATTCATCGATATTATAATACCAATCTATTTAATTGTATAAACAAAATCAAAACTTTCATCCGTGAAGAGTTTCAGCAGTTTAGGGTGTTCATTTAGTACTCGTTCGAATGATTGTTGCCGTTGCAGAACTATATTTTTAATTTCTCTACTTTCGGATATCTTGATTTTGGGTTCAGAGTCTTTGATTTTCATATTGTTGTACGTATCACCCATACAAGGACATGTAAAATTAATAGAAACGTCGTCTTGGCTGGAGTATTGTGTACCAACGTTATGAAACGGTTCTTTAGTAGGGCCGAATGGGAGCTCTTGATTAATTATGTCCGTGGGATCTATAAGTTCTGGAATGGGATCTTGGTCAGGTAATTTACCCAGTATTGTTTTAACCCTCTCATAATTTTCTTCACTAAAATCCAAATAGGAAACCAACCACGGAAAACTA